ACGTAATAGCCGCCGACTACTGCTAGTCGAATGCCTAAGGCGAGAATGCCTAAGGCTAGAATTGCTAGCGACTAGAGGCATAGGTAAGGACTTCGCATTAGGCTATAGCTAGTTTGAAAAGCTCTTCGGTACGACGACAGAATGTGCTCTACGCTCGTTAGCCGACGTAGCTCTCTAGTCTACCGCTACTACTTCGCCGCTAACCGCTAGTTAGAGTAACGCTAGTTATTAAGCGATTATCGTACGCCTAGCCTAGCTAGCTATTAAGCGATTATCGTACGCCTAGCCTAGCTAGCTATTAAGCGATTATCGTACGCCTAGCCTAGCTAGCTATTAAGCGATTATCGTACGCCTAGCCTAGCTAGCTATTAAGCGATTATCGTACGCCTAGCCTAGCTAGCTATTAAGCGATTATCGTACGCCTAGCCTAGCTAGCTATTAAGCGATTATCGTACGCCTAGCCTAGCTAGCTATTAAGCGATTATCGTACGCCTAGCCTAGCTAGCTATTAAGCTATTATCGTACGAGGCACGCACTCTAGTCTACCGCTATTACTTCGCCGCTAGGCGCGCACAATCTAGAGCTGCTATAGGACAACGACGACATTATAGGCGTTAGTTTAGTGCTTAGACAAGAATAGTCCTACCTTAATATATCAAATATTATGCTCTATACTCTATACTCCGTGCTCTATACTCTATACTTTATACTCTATGCTCTATGCTCTGTGCTCTATTTGTTTGGAAGTTACTACTGCCCTTACTGCTAAGGCTACCTGTGCGTACGAGGAGACCTATATTAGCTCCTTCTACTCTACCGTTGCTAGCGCTTGCGCTAGTGCCTGTCCTAGTTAGGTCCTAGGTTTCTATACCCTCGAATAGCTAAGCAGTACTATCTGCAAGCTAAACCTATATATTATCTCGCTCTAGATCAAGTACTACATCCTTAATTAGACCGTAATTAACACTATCTAGGCGCTCTATAGCATTAGGACCCTCTAAGGCATTAGATTCTAGCACCGTAGTACGGCCTCGAATAAAGTTCTAGTTAGTAGCGTTAAAGTTCTCGACGACTAATAGCATCTAATCTGCACCGATATTCTAGATATCGTCCGAGAGCGTAAAATCTCCGTGCTACTACTTCGCGAACCTATCGATACGGATCTTATTAGCTCGATTGAATACGCCCGCGCTAATGTCCTTATTAGTATAGTAACTAGTCCGATAGACACTAGAATTCTCCCTAAATATATCGCGGATAAGTCGAGATAACTCTCGGTTTATCGATACTCGTTTAAAGGCAGCAGCAAGTCTATAAGTCGAATTAGTAAGGCGATTGTAGTCCTCGGATAGGGCATAGTTAATAAGCTTAATTATCTTATTACTACCGATAGTATAGCCCTTCTTTCTAGACTAATTAACAGTTGCAGTAGTAAGGACCGCCTTCTATAGGTTCTTAGTACCGCCCTTATTAAGGAGGAAATAGAAATAGGTTATTAGACGACTATAGTTGCTCTGTCTAGCTCTAAGGAATATAGGGATCGTATAGTCTACGTATCGACGAAGGTAACCGACATCCTATATACGGACAGCATAGCGGACGCGCAGAAACAAAGAGATCTCCTTTATTAGTCTATATATAGAGGTAAAGGCCCTATCTAGCCTAGCTAGTGTAGCGCTATTGTCGGTAGAGGCAGGTCGATTAGGCATTCCCTCCTATGCTTCTAGTAATAGGAGTAGCTTATATATCTCCTTTAGGATATCTATATACTTAGTAGCGGACATCTTCTCGACAATAGCCTACTTAACGACCTTAGGCCGGGTCTAGTTACCTTCGCTAACAAGATCCTTAGAGATATAGCTACGGTTAACTATAATCTAGAGGAATACGGCGATAGTGCGGGCCTTAAAGCAACGCTTTAGCAGTCTCTATATACGGAAGAATTTTAGTAACTTTAGATTAACCTCTTTTATACCCTAGAAATCGATATCCGATAATAGAGAGAAGTCTATACGATCGCCGGCCTTATTCTTATTCTAATAGGTACGGAATAGTGTAAAGCATAGGTTTATAAAGATGTAGAACTAAGCGGGCACTAGAAGGACATACTACTTCCTATCGTATATAGCCTTATTCTCGACACTACTAAAGATTATAGCTAACATACGCTCGATAGTTAGCTAATTACTAACGTTAATAATCAATCTATTATCGAAAATCGGATCCTCTAGCTTTAGACCTAGATTGCCCTAGTAGATGTCGTCGTATACTAAGGCGGTGCCCTTATTCGAGATCTTATTATTCTACGATAGAGGCATAGCTAGTAGCTAAGTCTTGCTACGGAAGCTATAGTTAATCTCCGGATATACTAGTTCTTCGACTAGATTGCCGGTATCCTTCGCTACCTTAAAGATGCCCTTAATCGCGTTACCAAATATATATATACAAGCTTCGTAGAGCTAATATATTTCGACTGCTACGATAGTATCGTCGCTATCGATATTCTAGATAATGTTCTCGGTAAGTACTAGCTTCGAGCGGTCTAGTATGTCCTACGTTAACCCCCCCTCTAGTATATCTTCGCAAAGGGCGATATACGAGTTAGTAATATTAACCTGTTTATTATTGTCGGCAATGCCTTAGTCCTTCCGCTTTGCCTAGCGATTAAAGTTGTCGTAGCAGATCTACTAGATATACAACTTAGCCTATTCTAAGATCTTTAGCCGCTAAGTATTAGCATTCTTCTTAATTAAGGCTTGTATAGTCTTGTACGTAGGAAGCAGACCTATACTATAGAGGGTGTCGATAAGAGGTACCAGAAGATTGCTAATATATACTAATAGAAGGCTAAGCGACTTTAGCATCTAGGAGGCCCGCTTTAGTGCTATTAAATATACTACTATATATGTAATCGTATAGATACGCTTCTGTATTATGTTCCGCTTGTCCTCGAACGATACTGCTCGCTATATAGTATCCTTACGGGTATTTAGTAGCATAAAATCCTCGAGAAGGCGGTACTAATTTAGGGCGATATTATAGATTACATTATATATCTTAGATAGGCGACGTAGTGCGGCAAGACTGTCTTCTAGCTTATAGGCATTAAAGAACTTCTTGCTAATTAAGTTCTTAACCTTAGTACGTAACTAAATAGCACTAATAAGGTGCTTATTCGGCAACATATCTTAAACAGCCTATATACGCTTACGGTAGGTCTTTATACCCGCCTTACCGAACTATATAAACATTATCTTCTCTATTAGCAATCTAAGCTGCGCGAGTTGCTATATAGCAATAGTGTACTTCTGCTTTAGCGTGCGACGTAGACTACGGAGGCTAGTAGGATCGAGTACGCCCTCTTCCTCGTCGTTTATCTTATCGAGGCCGCGCTTACTAGGCCGCTATCTAGGCTAATCGTTATCGTCGTCGTTAGAGGCATTGCTAGCACGACTCTCGATCTCTAACTCGCCCTCGCTCTACGAGTCTTTATCTATATTAGCATCCTCGTCTTTAGTTAGACTATTATTAACTAGCTAAGCGTGTATAACGTTAAGATTAGCATTTCTTAGGCGGCGAGCAGACCGCTTAGGCTAATAGATAGGTTAGCGGACAGGCTAGCGTCGAGCAGCTAAGCGATCTTTATCGCCTAGTATATACTTAGAGTTGTAATAGTCGCTATAATACTAGCGCTAGCGGCGGCGATCTTAATCGACTATATAGATTAGCAGGTCGGACGTCTGTCCTAGTAGATCTAGATCCTCTAGTGTAACTATATCCTCGTCTTTATCTTTATTATATTCTAGTCGAGTCGGCAAGGCGGTATTGTCTTCGCTACGCCGATCGAGTTTAGATATAGCTAGAATATTAGAGAAACAAGAAGAAGAAGTATACTAAGCGCCTCCGCCCTAAGCGCCTCTACCTAAATGTCGATCGAGCTCGGATATAGCTAGAATATTAGAGAGATAAGAAGAAGAAGCATACTAAGCGCCTCCGCCCTAAGCGCCTCTATCTAGACGACGATCGAGCTCCGAAGTATTAGGTTAATTAGTTAAGTTAGAGTCGCTTATATTAGCGATACTATACAGGTCGTATAGGTCGTATAGGTCGTATAGGTCGTATAGGTGTTAGTTAGTAGTAGTTAGTAGTAGTTAGTATTATTTAGTATTTAGAGTACTAACTCGAATTGCTAGCTCGAGTCGCGTCTGCTACTTAGCTATATTTTAGTAACGATAGTCCGTAGAGGTATACCGGTTATAGCAAAGTTATTCGGAAATACTAGGTATACGAGCTCGTATAGGTCTTAAGTAGGGTAGTAATAATCTATTTCGAACCTTCTAAGTCGCTAGTAACTAGCGTCGGCAAAGTAATAAGAACTTAGTACTACTATACCGGGCGTAGTTATATCTAGCAAGGAAGTCGATTAGAAGTACCTTCCGAAGGGCCTCGAGTTAGTTTAGTTAAAAATAAAGGAGAGTGTTGCTACCGCTATTTCCGACGAAGACAAGAACTCGATAGCGAGAAGTCGCGCGTAGGTACGTATAGCGAAGAAGTTAGTCGAATAGCCCTAATTAAGGACCTCTAGGTATTAACTTAGTATATAGCGATATGTTAAGAATCGGTGTGTTTAGATAGGCGGAAAGCTATAGAAGTAGGCTCGGCTAAATTAGTATAACTTAGCGCGTACACGTCGTATATACAAGATTTTTAGATCGTTAGACTCGCAATTAGCAGGGCTATAACCTCCTCGTATTAGATTTGCTAGTTGTCGTTAGTGTAGCGAGATCGTATTTTAATAGCGGAATCTACGATAAAAATTAGCGGTTTAGCTTTAGGCCTTTAGGTAAAGGATTAGGTAGAGTAGTATATAATTAGTTGTTCGGAAAGACGGAAGCTAGCCCTAATTTAAATCTATCACGTGCAATCTGACCAATTCACTACCGCGCAACGTAATCCTTAATGCACAAAGGCCTAAACGGAGGTAGCTCGAAGCCAGCTAGCTAGTCAATTATTATTCCAACCTCAGCCTAACAGCACTAGACAACCTTTACATCTGACCTGAACCTCACCTCCGCCAAGGGTCACAAGCGGCCGCTCTAAAATCTGGCGACCGAACATGCGAATCAAAGACTACTACTTCTTTGCCGATTCTCTACCGCTGGTACAATGCGACCCTGTTCTTGTATATCAAGTCGTCTCACTAGCGCTTTTGCGCACAAGTCAGATGCATTCAGCCGCTGCTCCAGATTGCACAATTCAACTACTACCTTCAGCCAAACACTCTCATGATCGACTTACAGTCGTGATTTCTTAAGTGAACTGCGACAATGCTGCCGGAGTCTTAGGTTCTAGAATACTGTATCCACGTGCCGGCTTCCTTGAACCCTGCCATGAAATCCAATGTACAGGGATCATAGCATTGTCCCGTTTGAGAGGACGATGCAAGAAAGGCAGAACCTACTACAGGAAAAGTCTCAACTCAGCGCACGCAATCGATCAATTGCGCGGAAAGCCTCGTACTTTATTCGTATTCTTCTCGGCCCAACCTCTTCGGCACGCCGGCCGTACTGGTACCATTCCTCTGTCGAGGGTTCTGTCAGCGGAGTCCATGTCTAGTAGTCTTGATTACCAAGATATGGCTTTCCTTCCTCGATTCTTTCTGCATTCCTTTCTCCTCCTCGATCGTCGATGCACATTAATGAGCCTTCCGCCATCGACAACATCTATACGGTGCTCAAAGATCGCGATCAAGGAGACTAACGAAGATAATCAACCTTCCTGATTTGTTTGTGTTCATCGATCGCTTAATGTGCTGGATAAGAAGCTTAGTGGCACCGCGCAGACTACCAGTCGAAATCAAAACCATCATTAGCTCCGAAGAGCATATAAGCAACCTCCTGGCCGATGAACCATGCCTTGGACGCTTGAACCTGCTGTCCTCCTATGGAAGGCGACATTCTTCCTGATAATCCTTTACATCACATCCTACCTCTCGATAAAGACATTCGGACGACGAGCTCGGTTCCTGAGATCGCAAGAATGGGCTGGATCAACGAAAAGCTGGTTTCCTCAATGGTCCTGGAAATCTATGACCCATAGCCGCTCCCTCACCATCGAAGCATATAACCGCCTCTCAAAACACGATCGACCATTTGTGATTCCTCAATGGGGCAAAGAGCCTTTCCTGATCTTACCACAGTCTCAGATGAGAGAAGTCTATCAGAGACCGGACGCAGATGTCAGTATCATGGCCATGCTAAGAGACAACCTTGCTGTCAGGTATACTGGCGACAGTGACATCGCGGTTGGTGCTTTCCACATCGATCTCGTCCGGCATGATCTTACCAGAAAGCTGTCACTTTTCACGCCAGATATCTACGACGAGCTGAGTCTGGGATTTCAAGACGAGTGGCATCCCAAATCAGATGAATGGAAACCTATCCTGCTTTATGAGACCACAATCCGGATTGTCACTCGTGCGGCAAATCGCGTCTTCAGTGGCACGGAACTCTGCAGAAATGCAGAGTTTCTCGAGCACACGCGACTGTATGGATACCAGATCTTTACGCAAGGCATGTTGATCAACATGATCCCGATATCGTTTCTCCGACCCCTGGCGGCGGCATTTATGACTCGGAAGAGCGTTCATCACAGGAATATGGTCTTGAAACATGCGGCACCCGTGATCCAGAGGCGAATTGAGGCCGTGAGAGCTGGGAACAAAGATCCCCCAGTGAGTCAATCGATGTGGATATCGATCTTGTATAATTAGCTACCTACTAACCTTCGCTGCAGGTAGACTGTCTCCAATGGCTGATAGAAAAATGCGTTGCCTGCAACGATCCCATCGAATTAGACGTAACCATGATCACCCGACGCCTCTTACGTCTAAACATGCTCGCCATCCACACCACAAGCCTCGCAATCACAAGTGCAATTTTCGAACTCTACAGCTCTTCCCGAGCCCAAGAATACATCACAGCTCTCCGCGAAGAAGTCACACAAGTCCTCAAAGCCCACAACAACAAATGGACCAAAGCCGCCGTAACCGACCTCCACCTCATCGACTCCACAATCCGCGAATCCATGCGTATCAACGACTTCTCCGTTTTTAGCATCGCCGTAAGCAATCCCCTCCAATCCACCCCTCTGAAGTTAACTAACAACCCCTCTTCTTTCTCCCCCTCAGCGAACCATCACATCCCCCCACGGCATCGACCTCCCCGACGGCCTGCATCTCCCCCCCGGCACCAAAATCGCAGTCCCAAACCTCGGCATCCACCGAGATCCCACAAATTACGAAAACCCGAACGAATTCGACGCGTTTAGATTCGTGCACAGTAGGGAAAGTATGGTGTTAACGAGTGAGTCGGCGTTGCATTTTGGGTATGGGAGACATGCATGTCCGGGGAGGTGAGTAACACAACACAACACAACACAACACATATTTCCTCGTTTTGATCGATCTTGGCATGTAGAAGAGAGAGAGTGTGTGTGAAAATGCTGATTTTGATGGGACAAGGTTTTTCGCTGCGCAGGAGATGAAGTTGATGTTGGCGTATGTTGTTTTGAATTTTGATGTGAAGATTGCAGGATCTGGGCCGAGGAGGACACGGGATCTTAAGGCTGCGGCTCTGCCGGATGCGAAGGCTGAGATTTGGATTCGAAGGAGGCACATATAGCACGGTCTGAATTGAATGATAGTTGAGTTGGGGTTTCCTTAGTATGTTAGGGATTTCTATACTGCTGTTTAAGAAGAGTGTTAAGAAGAGTTTATGTAACTAACTGACTATCGCATATAATAAGGGTAAAAGTTTAGACTTTTTCTATATATTTATATACCCTCTTTTAAGGTTTTAGGGAGTAGGCAATCCCTAGGGTTAATAAGGCCGACTATCCTAATACAGCTAGTACTATAGATATAAAAGGAGTAGATTAAGGCGTAAAGAAGCTATAGATTATAGTATAGAAAACTAGTAAGTAGATAGTAGACTATTAAAGTAGACTATAAACATATTAAATAAGACCCTAAGCGCCTAGCTAACTAATACCTATAGACTACTAACAAATAAGATAGTAGGACTATAGCTAACTACTAACAAGTAGTACCGCCCTTCGCTATTATTATTAGTAGTCTAAATCCGCTATAGTATTATCCTTACTATTATCTAAGTTAACTAAAACAGGGTTGCTATTAGTTAAGGAGGTAGTAATAGCATTATATTAGGTAGTATATCGAGTGTTTTAAAGAAGGTCTCCGGATTAGGTATTAGAGATAAAGAAAGGGAAGTTAAAATAGCTTTAAGTTAAAAAGAAGGCATTTATATATATATATATATATATATATATATATAGAAGTAGTTAGATTGCTATATAGTATAGTTACATTGCTATATATTATATATAGTATCCTTCCTTTAAAACAGCCTTCTCCTACTATCCTATATACCTCTATATCTTATATATCCTCCTTTTCCTTAAATTCGCTTTCTTCTATCTCTTTTAGTACCTCCGCTCTTATAGTAGACTAAACAAGGTATTTACAGTCCTAATCGAGGCACAAATAGAGGCGTAGGCGGTCTCGCAATACGGTCGCCTAGTTAATATTACTAGAAGTGTTAGTAATAACTAGTAATAGTTAGTAACAGAATTAGAAGACTCGAGAAGCTAGAGCTAGAAGGCTAGTAACGTAACTATATAAGAGCCTAATAGGCTATTGTCTAGTCGGATAGTAAGCCTTTAAATACCTTATTATATAGATAAATACTATATAAACAACCTGGCTTAGAGGAAGTTAGTATCCTTAATTCCTTATATCTACTCGGTTCTTAAAAGAGGGTATATATATACTATAGTATTAAGCTTGTAGGGTATTAAGTATAGTACTATCTATTGCCGGGACCCGAGGCGGGCTCTAGTCGCAGTTACTATATAAACAACCTAGCTTAGAGGAAGTTTGTATCCTTGTATCCACTCGGTTCCTGAAAGAGGGCACACACACACACTATACCATCAAGCCCGCAAGGCATCAAGTACAGTACTATCCACCACCGGGACCCGAAACAAACTCCAATCACAACATCACATTGCAGGACTCCCAAATGTACACATCCAACGTCCAAAGTCTCGGAACCCGGAACGCCTTCAATGTCATCGTACCCAAACTTCCAACCTTCCCCTTCCAAAATGCAATAGCCAAACTCCCGCCCGGCTCAATTCCAAACATTCCTATGCCTTCTCTAAAAACCATGCTCCGCGCGCCTTTTATTACTCGCAGTCCTACTAGCAGCTCAAGATATGCCGTCAGTAACATAGACTAGCTCTCAGCCCAAACCCTCAACCCTCCTTATCCACGCACTCCAAACCCCCCAAGAATTCAACTCAAACAACCCCTCCCACAGCAAGCCCCTCCCTTATCTTTTGCCCTCGATGTCTCCTCTCAGCCACAGGGAGCGAGTCTTGGGCGCGATCGTCAAAGATTTTGAAGCGGTTTTCGATGTTGCTTGATGCGAGGGTTTTGAGGGGGATTCTGGGAATTCCAAGCAAGGAATGTTAGTTAAGAGGGTTTTTGTGTGAGAGAGAGAGTGTGTGTGTATGTGTGTGTAGGAAGGTGGACTTACGTTGAGTGATCGGCTGTGAGGATGTAGGCCACGCCGAGAGGGCAGGCGGCGAGGGATCCTATGCCTAGGAGGGATTTGAGGGCGAGGGCGGACATGGGTAATCGATCGGTTGGTTTTAGGAAGGTAGAGGATAGGGCAGGTGATACTGCTGATATAGGTGCTGGTTTGTTTAATGCAGTGAATTGATCGTTGTTGCTAATGTAGTACAGATCTCTTTACCAGCAGTGCAACCAGATACAATGAATATATACTAACCTTGAGAGACTTACCGAACATCCGACCTCTTCCTATACAATCCTACATGAGAAACAGGTGACGTTTCGTAGCCTGGCACATCAGGTTGCGTGTGGTGTGATGCGAGAAAGAGTCGAAAGCGAGGAAGCAGTAGTAGAGAGAGGGAGAGGGCTTGGCAGTCACGATTCCCGATCGACGGCGTGCTCCGTGCGCCGTGCACGTACTGTTGTGAATCGTGCTAGGGATGCAACTAATTATCGGATTGACAACTATGTAACTATACAAAGAAGGATTAGGAGCCTGCTACAGAAACTACAGTTAATATACCTATTATGTGTCCTTCCTCTTAGTATAGGTTAGCTGATAGTATTAGCTAACTAGCATATTACCTAACTGAACTATAACACTCCCCCTTAGGTAGAGATAATGTGCTATTCAGATTAGACACTCTAAATCTAGGCTTAGAGCTTCACTTCATCTTCTAACTGCCTTTAGATATTAGACTATATCTGCTTTATATACAGCTTTATATACTGTACTACTTGTACGTGCTTATATTATATTGTTTACTAATTAGTTTGCTTTAGAGTAATGTCCTTAGTCGTGATTGTAGGGTTAGTAGGTGCCTATAAAAGATACTTAAACTTAACTAGATAACTTGAACTTTTACAATCTACTCTTTAGCAATCCCCTTAGTACTAGCAGCCTCTACTAGAATTCAAATTCTTACTAAGACCTTTCAAGTCTAATAGCTAGCCGAGACTTTATTATAGCGATAATTCTTTATCCTAGCCTAGGGAGTATAGCGAGTAGTATAGGTAGTAGTAGTAGCGGCGGCGGTAGTAACGATCTAAACAAGAATCGGCACCCTTCGCATTATAATAAGCTCTAGCTTATAGAGACTAGTAAGTATTGCTATTAGAGGTTCCCCTTTTCTAACAATTTACTAACTAGGCGCAGTCCTTAAGGAAGTTTAGTTAACTATCGCGATTCTCTAGAGAATTATCTAGTACTTAACTAATATTAGTCCGGAGCAGACTCCGCCTTAGCTACGTAACGTTAATGTTAGGCATTTCATTACGAGCTAGGATAATGCTCGGCTATTTCTAAGTATGCCTCCGCGTCTGCGTAAGGCGGCTAAGGCATTCAATTTAGGCTTAAAATCGAATGTTAACTACTTGCCTACTGCGCTTGTATATACGGCTACTGCTAGACGCGTATATACTAGTAACGGCTAGTACGGTCCTTGCAAGCAGTTAAAGGGTCCGTACTTAGAGTATGTAACTCTAAGTTATCGAATTAATAGTTAGGATATCGCTTTCCTAAAGGGCGCTTATACTAACTATACTAGCCTAAATTATTATAGTTAATACGAGTTCTCTAGTAAGTTGAATCTAGTCTTATACATTTTTTTTTAAAGCAAAAACACTAATCCTTTTGTTAGGTTACGTCTCTCGGCTACGCTCTAATACGAATCGTTAGACGCCTATAGTACCTCTACCGCCTCGCAATCCGGGGAGCAGAGTAGGCACTAATTAGCGTCGTCTATACGTACTAGTCCCGTCTAGCATCGATTAGAGTACTCCTTAGGGCGCCTAGGTAGTAGTAAATTTGCTACTATAGTAGGCAAATGCTTATACCTAGGCTACTACTTAGGGACGTGGTCGTAGTCTAGGTTCTAGGTTATCTACTAGTCCTAGTTCGACGCGTAATTCTAGTAGTCCTTAGAGGGGTTTCTCTAATTACGAAGACAGTAATGCTAAGATAGATAGCTAATTAGGGAGATTCGGTTTTTTCTAGTAGATAGAGAGCTGTAATATATGTTTTCGATTTTAAAATAGGCTAGGCAGTCTAGATTGGTAAAAGCCTTATAGCATTAGAGAGTTTCTAACTCTTAAGGGCTAGGGTATTTCTTCCTGCCTAGTCTCAATGTTATTATAAAAGAAATTTTGCAGCTTAGACTACATAGTACAGCTAGGCTGTTTCTAGAAATCAGAATGAAATTCAATAAGTATATAAAGCTTGTTTTCTAATCCTATAAATAAGATTTTTTCTTTCTAAAGGAGTAACTTAGGAGTTTGTCCTAGAGACGGTATATTATTAGAGAATTTTGTTTGGAGATTTAGGCTTAGTGAAACAGTCCGCTAGCTGTTTGTTAGTAGTAACGAATTCGATACTAATCTTTCCCTAGGCATACTGTTCTCTATAGTAGTAGTTCCTAAGGGAAACGTGCCTCGACCTCTTAGAATTTATGTAGTCCTTAATAAGGGAAATGGCTAACTAGTTGTCTACCTAGACGTAAATCCTGTTGACTTCTTCCCTAGTAAGTAGTTAAAGCTTAGTTATCAAATTTCGGAGCTAGCAGATTTCTCTGTATACTTCTATTAGAGTAATATACTCTACTTTAGTACTAGAGAGTACGACTTCCTTCTAGAGCTATAATCTCTATATAATTAGAGTGTTGTTAAGAAGTACAAGGGCGCCTAATGTTAATCTTAATAATAAAGGGTTACTAGCAAAGTCTACGTTAGAGTATGCCTAAAATTCCAAAGTTTTCTTCTTTCTAAAGACAAGTCCTTTATCAACTATGCTAGTAATATACCTCTAGAGATGTTTAGTAGCTATAACATGCTTAGGTCCGGGATTCTAAAGGAACCTAGCAAGGTAGTTGACGGTATAGCTAATATCTAGTCTAGTCTAGTTAGCTAGAAACTGCATTTCACCAATTATAGTATTAAATAGCTAGTAGTCCTAACGGTTATAGGGGGTTGTAAGAGGCTCGTAAAGCTTCTTAAGTAGATGCTTTATTAGCTTGCACTAGTCTAAGCTATACTTCTAAAGCTTCTCTTTAGTATAGTATATCTAGGAGATAGTAAGGTTTCCCTCCTTGTCTTCCTTTAGATAAAGGCCTAGAAACAGGTTAAACGTAACAATCTTAATTGTATACTTCTTGCGAAGACCTTTAATTAGAGCATCGATCTTTGCCTTAGAGGTTCTAAAGATTTAGAAGTTATCTATATAAAGGAGGACAAGAATACTATTACCTTGCTATAGGTAACAGTTACTCTTTGTCCTGCTTAGGCTAAGTTAACGAAGAGTATCTAAAGCATTATAGTGCTAGAGATTAGCAGCCTGCTTAAGGCTATACAATCCTTTTCTAATACGGATGATCTACTTTAGAGGGTGCTTCTTAAATAGGTACGCGCCTTCTAGGGGTCTAATGAAAATCTCTTTATCTAGAGGGGGATTCAAGAAAGCAGTCTCGATATTAACCTGTCTTCGCTTTTAGTTTTTGTTTACTAAAAGCCTAAGGATAAGTCTAGTAGTAGCTGCTCTTAGTATAGGAGTATAGGTGTTGATATAGTCAAGACCTTACTTCTATATAAAGCCTCTAGCTATCTATCTTGCCTTATATTTGTTAATAGAGCCGTCTAGCAGGTATTTAATCTTGAAAACCCATTTTCCTGTTAGAGGTGTTCTGCCTTTTAGCAGGGATTCGGCTAGAATCTACTCGATTGTACTAGACTTTTTAAGAGACCTTATCTCCTTTATAACGGCTTTTCTCTATTCATCCTAGTTAGGCCTTTTTAGGGCTTTAGCTAGGGTTGTTAGGTTAGCTAGCTTCTAAGCATCTTTTATAGTAGCAGCTACAGCAATCTTAGTAATCTTGCTATAGTTATACTTAGCTACGGCTCTGCTAGACCTAAGTCGTACTTCGGCTTAAGGAGGGTTTAGCTAAGGTAGGTTAGGAGCCCTCTTTCTCTTGCTAGTAGTCTTAGGGACTTAGAAGGGAGTGATTAGGGTATCTTCTAGTTTAGTAGTATCTATTTCTTAAGTATACTAATTTTTCTTAGGAGCAGCTTCCTACTAGGTAGCTAGTAGTTCTAGTTAGTAATTTTAGAGTATTAGCTTATTAGCTGTAGGTATTAGCTAAGGTAGTGTTCCTTGCTTAAGTATACCTTGCTCCCCCTAAGCTGTAAGGGAGTCTTCCTAATCTTCCTAATTATGAGCCTACTAAGGCTAAGGGATGCTACCTCTAAATAGCTCCCCCTAAGGTTCTAAAGAGTGCTAAGGTGTTTAGTTATTACTAGGGAATAGTGCTAGGATTCCTAACTTAAATGAAAGGTTAGACTAGGTTTTAAGTACCTAAATAGTCTCCTAAGGGACAGCTAGTCTCAAATACTCCCCCTAAGCTTAAAGGGTACTTAGAAGCTTAGTGAAATTGTCTTTATAGATAAAGTCCTCGTTGAAGGTAACGTATAGAGAGAATCTGATGTTATACTACTATACGCTATCCTTCTAGTGCGGGTTCCAAAGCAGATAGTTTGTTAATGAATTTTCTTAGAATCTAATGAACTAGTAAACGAAAGCTCTTAGTACAAATTTCTAGGAGTTAAGTCGTTTAACCCCGGATTCGAGGTATTTGAATGCCTTATAGCCAAATCGTCTCGTCTTAGACAGGTCAACGTCTATGCTGCCGATATTCAAGTCTAATTCGAAAGCCTTAAGTAGAACTTCCTTAGTTCTTAAGTTTACTAGTCTATTAGTTAGGTAAATCGAATGTATTACTGTAAAGTACTAGCAGTATATTGGTAGGCTAGAGTCAATTATCATTGCTCTTGCCTTAAGTAGAATCGTCTTGTTTAACGACTCTATAATACTATTCTACTCCGGTGTATATAGTATAGACACATCCTATCTAATGCCAACTTCCTCTACAAAATGTACTAGATCGTTGTTAGTAAACTCTCCCCCGCTATTACTAAAGATAATCTTAGGGATTTTATTATATTGCCTCTTAATTCTGGCTATCTAGTTAGTTAGCTTGTTACTACTTATTACCTTGTCTTTGTTTCGAAGTAACAGACCCTACCTAAGCCTAGTTTTAGCATTAGTTAGGATTATAATGTACCTGTTTCCAAACAGATCAAATAGTTGTACGCTAACAAGGTTAATATAGACTTCGTTAAGGGCTTTTTCTAGTCTAGTTCTGTATTCTCTTAATATAACTCTTTAAGCTCTCGAGAGCTTATAGGTCTTATAGTGCTCGAGTTTAGATGTATTAACTTCTTCTAGGCCTAGAATAGCTTCCTTAGTAGCTGTTAGGATCTTATTGCCGACGTAGCTAAGTCTCTAATACTATCTCAATGTGTCCGCTCGTAGTCTAGCGATAGCTAGGGCTAATAGCTGCCCTTTCTAACTCGATTCTAAGTTTGGTTTTAAAGCTGAGCCTAGCATTTTAACTCTAGCATCTTTAAGGGTAAGTACTCCTTATACTTCCTTAACCTTTCCAATTAGCTTGCCTTTAAGTATTAAAGTGCCTAAAGGTCTGTCTAAGTAAATGCTACATTTCTTCCAAAGACGCTCTACTAAGATTAGGTTGTAATCTAAGTTCGGGGAATAGAGGACGTCTATTAGAGTAATTAGGGTTTTCTTTCCTTTATAGGTTAGGAAGATGTTAACAGTTCCTAATCGTAATACACTTGATTTTCCTACTACTTAGGAGAACTGAACAGGCTTAGTTAGGTACTTGAGATCGCTAAACTAGCTCTTGTTCCCTATAATATATAGTAATGTACCTATATCCTAAACTTTTGTGTTAGCTATTAGGTTCTTAGAGCTTGCTGTAGCTAGTCCCGGCTTTGCAATAGCTCCCCTAATTAGGCCCCTACTAAGGCCGTCTAGCTAATAGTCTCCCTTATCTTCCGAGTTAGAGGAGGAGTCTAATTTATCTTTGTTATTATTGATGGTACTACTAGATTTGCCCTTTCCTTTACCTTTACCCTTCTTACCTTTGTCTTTGTCTTTGCTCTTGTCTTTCTTTCCCTAACTAGGTAGTACTATATTAGGGTGTTGCTTGTAGCACTTAGCGTTAGTATGTTTATACTTGCACTAAGTGCACTAGTCGTTATTATTGCTAATAGCCCCTCTAATAAGCTTTAAGCCGCTAGATGACTATCTAGGAGGCTTTTCTCTCCTTAGGGACGTTATTATTGCTTTAAGGGAGGAGTCCTTAGCCTTAGGCTTATTATTGTGCTTCTAGGATCTAAGCTATTCGTAACTAGAAAGGCCCTAAATAAACAGCATCCTAACAAGCATGTTAGGCATCTTAATGTCTGATAACTTTATAGGCGCTTCTATTGTTGTAACTAAGCTAGCAAATTGTTCTATCGATGTTTAGAATCTGTTGAACTACTACTAAAAAGATTCGTAGTACTACTAGGTGTTCGGATTAGTAAGGGGCATCCTAATATACCTAATGAGTTTGATAGTATCAAATATGTCTACGGTTACAATAGGCTTATATAGAGCCTCAATATAGTCGTATATATCCTTAGCTAACTTAGGTATATTACCGAAGTCTAGTCTAAGGGCAGGGTCGAGTCTAGTAATAAGTATACCTAGGGCTTAGATGTCTTTCTTCTTCTAGTCCCTAAATATGTCTCTATACTGCTAATCGGCTGAGTCCCCTATAAACATACTTTTCAGAGGTGGTTTTATTTTATTAGCCTAGTCAAGTCTATAGAATACTATACTAACTAGGTCCTTTTCTAGAAGGGCCGCCTAGAATATAAGCTTCTAGTCTTAGAAGTTGATCCCCTTTCTAAGAACCTAATTCTCCTTTACTGTCTTTGTCTAATTAGTGTCCATCGTTCCTAGCTGCCTTTTAGTATAGTGCTAGGCAGGGCTTATAAGGGACACTTACTAGGTTTTAGTCCGAACTAGAGCTCTTAACTAGGTACCTAATAGGTCTAGATAGCTAGCTCTATTTAGTAGACTCTAGAAACAGTTCTTTTATAGTTGAACTAGACAGGTAAGCGTATACGCCGGGCTTATAACCTGTTGTTAATCGTACTAGGGATACAACTAATTATCGGATTGACAACTATATAACTATACAAAGAAGGATTAGGAGCCTGCTACAGAAACTGCAGTTAATATACCTATTGTATGTCCTTCCTCTTAGCACAGGTCAGCTAATGGTATCAGCTGACCAGCATATCACCTAACTGAACCACAACACGTACTTGAAATGAGGCCGGCGGGAAGTCCGAGCGGGTTGTTTCTCTTGGTTCTCTCTCAACTTGTCTCCTGATCTCTCTTCCCATCACTACCAGCCACGTCGCCTCCTTACGAAATGCGGAACTTTCAATGAAGTATTCCCGCGTCTGGAGATACAATCTCGACCCATGCTCTCCATTCTTCTCAATATTGCCCCTACGCCTCTACTCTCCGCTGTGCTATACAATTAGGTGTGCTTACACCGCTCTATTTCCCTAAGCTCCCTGAACTATCCAGACTATGGCTGATCTGTCGGCGCCCGCAACCAAGTGCAAAAAATACGAGTTATTCACCACAATCTCCAATCGATGCCGCTGGAATTGGGCACCACCTAGGTCTGATAAGAGCGAAGGATATCAGCTACGCTTCGGATCGCAACTCGATGCTATCGATCAAGCTGCCATTGGCCGAGCCATTCCGTGTCAGCAGCCTATGGCTGGATTCTCGAGGGGTCTTAGGGAAGGTAGCTGCTGGGGTTGGTGAGCCTGCAATAGCAACGCAATCGCGTTTCAAATGGTTCTGGATGGGTTTTCCAAGAGCAGCATTCATGTTGCTAACCGCCAACACTGCAGGGTGAAGACATATTAGTTCTGATGCCAACACTCTGGGCTTTTGCTACGACGCCAATTGTGATCAGAATTCATCCAAGACTCGGGACTGATGGTGGCTTCCCGGGCTTCTGAGGAACATTGATCCACGGATCTTCTAGGCCGAGTCATAGATGGACTCCACATCGCAGCGGCATGAAGATGGAAGTCAGGCAGTGAAAGATCGTACTCAAGGAAAGAAGATCAGCGAGGAATCGATTGGTAGACGGGATTCCGGGCTTGGACTCAACTGATGAGCAGTACACCTCTTGCAATATCGAATCCCAGTCCCAATACTCACCCACCACTCTCCCTTCACCCACCAAAACCACCCACAGAACCCCCACACGACTCAACCACAACAACCTTCACACTCCTCCTCTCAATAAACCTCTCCTCATCCTCCTCCCTCAACCTCGTATTTTCCGACGTCCCAACCGCAGCCATCTGTCTCTGCAACTGTTCCTGATCCCTATATATGACTTCAGCCACACAATCGAACTCCAGATCCTGATCCCCAATGATCAACTGTGCTGTATTGGTGTCGCTGTCTCTCGGAATGTAATTTCTCGTATGACTCAACCAAGCATCGTCTCCTGAGATTTTTTGGATGAGTGGCATGTGGTGGGTTTCGTAGTAGTTTTTGAATTCGGCTGGCGTGAGGGTGGGGAGACGGTTGGTGAAGATGAGGATTTTCAGGACCATGGTTTGATGAGAAATTGGAATCAGTGGTTGGAGATTCTTCGATTTTTGGTTGCACAAGAGGTATTGGATTTGATTTTTGATCTCGAATTTTTAATTTTCTTTGGCAGAGATAGTAGGTCCCTTCTTGTACAGTTGAAGCAAGAGGGTGTGAAGGTTCGGCGTTGTGATTGCGCGTTTCTTATCAATATGTGAAAGGGATCGGTGCAAGTGGCATGGAGAGTTATAAACTCTTGAGGGCTGAAGAAAGTTAAACAAGTTATGCATTATTGGTAAAGGTAATCCGAATTCTCGGTCTGCTTGATTTATATACAGCAATGATTTCCGCCTTTGTATCTGCAACCGCCTGGAAATAAGCAGATAGTTAGAAAAGCAGTGAGGGCCTAGCTTGGACGAATGGAATTATGATTGCTAGAGGAAGACTCGTTTGTGGCTATATCGACGACAGCAATACAATGTGCGATTTGGCTTGCTCACGTGCTTCTCAAAGAAGTGTTGCTGTTCGATGACACAATAGAGCACAAGACTGCGCAGTGGCCTCACTTCGGGGATAGCGATGATCGATCTACTCAAATCATTAGTAGGCTGAGTCTCGCACAAGGCTATGCGCGGTCACATGCATCAAGCATTGTTCTACTCTGCGAAAAAAAGGACGCGAAAGCGAAGTTTCCAGAACATGACACCTCAAACATCTCCGCACACGCTCTCGTTGTCGTTGTCGTTCAAAGAAGCTCAAACATCAAGCAGTAGTGATAACATCATAGTACATGAATGTCAGTCAGCAAGCCGCAGCCATCCGTCTGACACTGGCACTGACACATCCGTTTCCGACGGCTTGGCGACTCAGTCCGAGCCAGGCTGTGCCCTGCGGATACTGGAATCCACCGCTTCAACAGAATTCCAGATCCCTAAGTGCTGACGATGACAGGGACTGCGTAATAGTACATGTCTTGTTGGCAGTGCACAAAATGCTGCGGGGTGTAGATATTTAATAAGTACTGCTTTGGATTCCTCGGATCTTGGTTTGCTGTGGCATTCATCTCTTACGACGACAATTATATAAACGAACATTAACGACGAGTCGACGGCAAATATGGTATACTGCTTCGTTAACCGTTATGGAGACACGGTGTGTGAAGATTCGGGATGGTATAAGTGGGGTCGGTGGGTGCTTGTGGGAGTGGTAGTGGGCTTACTGCTCTTGACTTTGATCGGATTTCTCGTCTTCAGGTATGGATTTTGTTTTTGCAAAGCTAGATGTCATGATGCTGATTGCTATTAAGTCGCATATCTGCTCGGCAACGAGTACGGGCAGGACAAAAGCCGATGTGGGGAACGCAATGGGCAGCACCTCCAGCGTACGCTGTCAATGATCCGCATCCAGACGCTCGGAAACGTTCAACAGAGACCGAACCCGACGTGGAACTACCGCAGTATGTCGCACCTCCGCGCTGATGACCGAGTGGTCATGATGTTGTGGCAAGAAAGCGAATTAAGGCTGGTTATCGAGTCTGGAGAGAAGGAGTGAATGTGCTAAGCATGGCTGAGAATGAGAACCCCAGTCGGCGTGTAGTCTTGCGGGTCGCATGGTCGACGGAGTAGGGCGAGGGTTGGAGAGCCTCGCAAGTCATACGGTGCTTGGGTGCTTGATTATATGGTGTGGGTCACGCAAGTCCTGTCCCGCAAACGCTTCGGCGGCATTTCCTCCGATGCAAGGCAAGCGATATTGGCGTGGGACGCGGCAGGTTTGTGTAACAGAACGTGATAGATAAATGCAAGGCAATTCCTCGAGCGCCTGCTCTCCTGGTGTTCTTGTTCCTGCTCTCGTCGCCAACATGAACATCCATGGTGCCAAGGATACCTCAAGCTTCGTGCTTTCGCGAGCGACAGAAGCCGACATGCCAGAGATCATTGCCGTCCAGTACAGATCTTTCGAAAAGCCGATAATAGTCCGAGAACTGGTCATGGGCTGCCTGTCGCCAGAGGACTTACCCAAATTCGTCGACAAACGCATTAGAACGATGAGAGAAGATCCAACCGACATCTGGATCAAGGTCGTGGATTCTGAGACGAACAAGATCGTGGCTGCAAGCAATTGGAAACTGTACCTCGGTCCGGAGACGTCAATGAAGCGACGAGCTATGGAGGTGCCAGAGTGGCTTACTGGGGACCACGCGAAAGCAGCGCATGCTCTTATGGACCCGATGAATGAAATCAAGATTAGGAACAACCCACAGCCATTTTTGCGTAGGTGATGCAATTTTCGGAGCTGATTCAATGCTGATTCCCATCAGACTTAGACACGTGCTTCACTGATCCTGCATTTTGGCGCCGCGGTATCGGTAGCAAAATGCTTCACTGGGGGTGTCAGGTTGCAGATCAGCTTTCTCTTGCGGCGTGGGTTGAAGCAAGTCCAGAAGGAAACTTTCTCTACAAGCGTTTCGGGTTTCGCTGGTTCAAGGATATCGTATACGAGGGAGATGTTGTCGGGACAGCGATGCGGCGTCAAGTTTGCCAGAGAGGACGACCAGAAGAGTAATAAGTTTGCTTGTAAAGATAGACTTAGTCTCAACTTCTGTTGACACGCACGACTGGTCCGAGATAGCTTCGCTTGCCGCGCAAAATGTAGTCGAAAGCCGCAATCGTGAACACGCCTGCGAACATGACGCACGACCAGTTCATGGTGGAAGGTTTCACCATAGCTAGCACCGGAAAGAAGCTGACAATTGCCGTGAACACAACAAAAAGCAACGCGACGACGTTCATTGGCAGACCAAGTCGACCCAATGACCATCTGGCAGGCGGAAGTGGCTCTCTTCGTAGTCGCTTGCTGAGGATGCATCCAACGCTGACAGCGTACGAAAAGCTTGTCGCACTTGTTGCCAGACTGATGATACTGTTGAATGCCGTGGAGGTACCGATGTTGATTAGAGCGAGGATGACCAGGATTGAAAATGAAAAGAGGATGGCGTTCAGTGGTATAGGAATACCGATCTCGACGACTTTTCTGAACCAATCTGAGAATGGAAGCCCTCCGTCTCTGCTCAAAGACCACGCCTGCCGAGAGCCCGCAGCTATCGAATTGAGCGTGACGCAAACTATAAGCACAAGCGGGATGCAGGCCATGGCAGTTGCTGCGCCTTTGCTTCCTGTCCCGGCGTGAAAGACGTCCACAAATACGAACACGGATGTCGAACCAATGACAGCCTCGAGGTTCGTGATGCAGAAGACATAGGTGATGATCACGACAAACCCCATGGCACCGTTCAGGATGATTGAGGCGATCATCATGCGAGGGACCGCGAGCGATGCATTTTTGACTTCTTCGGACAGGTGCACAGGCGCGTCACAACCAGCAAACGAGGTAGTCGCTGCAATCTGGCCGACCATGCAGGCCGTACCAATGGATGACCATCCTCCAAAATTTGAGAACTCCGTAAATACTGCTTTGGCGGAAGCTTTGGGCGCGAGCACCCATAGCGGGACGATGATGCAGAAGAAGCCGAAGACGTGCACGAACAGCGCAATTCCCTCTAGGAGCGGTAGCCTTTTGGCCCCGAAGGTGTTGAAGAGGGCTCCAAAAACGCCAATCCCGATCATTAGGAGTGTCGTCTGCCACCGCGTTGGGGTGTAACCGGGATTGTTGAGTGATACGAGTTGAAGTAGCAGAGTACTGGCTGAGTATGCCCCTCCAGCGATGATTGCTTGCCAACCAAGGGCGCTCAACCAGCCGACGGAGTAGCTGAGAAACCGTTGATGCGATTGTGGCGCGAACTCCGACACCCAGTCTTTAAATTGTCAGTGCAGGCCGACTTGCTTAACTTGCGCTGCTTACGATACTGCCCCCCACTGGTTGGAGCCATCGAGGCCATTTCTGCGAGACTGCAGACCAGACAAATTGTAAATAACCAGGATGCGAAGTAGACCCAGATACTACCCGCAAGCCCTCCATTGATCAAGGAGAAGCTGGCGGTAAGAAGCAATGCCATCCAAGTTGCCATCGTTACTGAGGCCATGCCAAGAATCGAGAATGTTCTGAAGGTTCGACGGAGCTCCTGCTCGCGACCAAGTCGCTGCATATCGACAGCATCTTCTTTGGTCCCAGATCGAACATTAGGAGCGAAGTCGTCAATTTCTGATGCGGCCCTAAGTTGGACAGCATCTGAGCGTCTCTTTTCCGCGCCATTGCCAAAGTCCATGGTTCCAGTCAAGATATGAGAGGTGTTGAGAACCCCCATGGTGTACTCAGGGAAGGTTGGCCTTGATATAATGCTCCGGAACAATGCGATGAAGAGTGATTAGCAAGACTCCGCAAGTTGCGGCCGAAAGAGGTCCGAAGGCGATGTTGTGGTCTGGTTCGCCAATGCACGTAGACGAGATGTTATGCTGTGGAACGTCGGCACCGCGACAACGACCGCATTCCTGCTTGGCGCATGCCGCGGCTGGTTTGCCGCACACTCGAGACATGATTGAGCGCACGTTCTGTATAGAGAATGCCATCTCGCAGATGTAGTCGTCTCTTGGGAGAGACAAATGAGGCGAGTGGTCGCGTCATGCTAACGACGACAGGGCCAGCACAATGTCACGGCCAGTGCCTTACTGTTGTTGAAGGAGACGCAAGCACTATCGGCCTTTCCGATGGTTGCATCCTTCTCAAAGCTGGATTAATGAGGCTCTAGCCACGTGCTGTCCACCACGCTGGAATGTTCGGCTCACAGACGACCAGCTATAAGCATTGTGTAGTACGCATGAACGACATCTATACATATTGAGCCGCCACATCGTGATGCCTTGAGCCCAGACAGAAGAAGCATGGCGGACCAGGGCGCCACAACACCATCTCTGGCCATCAGTACAGCGGTCACGCCTGACGACCATGGAGCACAGATCGTGGTTGTCGGAATCCTTTGCCTCGTTGCCAGCACACTATCTTTTTTGACCAGACTCTGCATCCGGTGGCCATGGACAGCCCGCCTCGGTCTCGACGACGTCGTCTGCATGGCCGCCACGTTGGTGTCGGCGGCACAAAGTGCGACAGTGTTTGGAGGCGTCTCGAGAGGATTTGGACAGAAGCCGCAGCTTTTGCGCGAAAGTCAGGTCGAATCAGTCGAAAAGGTAAAGCTGTCACTACAACAGAAGAAATCTTGCTGATATATCCAGATATTGTACGCAAGCAACTTGCTTTTCGTGACGGCACTTTTCCTGGGCAAGCTTGCCATCACGACTTTGTTTGGTCGCCTTTCCATGGGTCGAGGATCGAAGTTTCTTTCAGCTGGACTTATTGGCTATGGCGTTGCCGCTGTCTGCATTGTAGCGCTTGGTCGCCCCATCCAAAAGCCATGGAAGGTTGACCATGCTGCATCGTCGATCACGCTAGCGAGATGGGCGAGTGTGGAGGCTGTGGGCATGCTAATTGATGGGGTTCTTATCGCATACCCATTTCTGCTGATCCGCAACCTCAAGATGGAAAGAGGTACGAAGGTGGCTGTGAATATCGGTTTCGCTTTGCGTTTCCCAGTCATCATCCTCTCTGCCCTTCGCCTGGCTAGTCTTGCGATCATGGACTATAGAGACTTCACCTTCTCCTACGTGGACCCCGAAATATTGGCCCAAGTGGAAATGCACTATAATACCATAGCTGCCACCATTCCCTGTCTGCGACTCTTTCTCAAAGGATGGAGAACCGGATTCCTTGGTACAGCGCTGGAGGAGCTGGATCCGGCCGAGTACACACGGCATTCTTCCGTCGCGAGAAGCCGGCGTACGCCTAATAGTTCCTCAAACAAAAGCCATCGACTTTCGTGGAGAAGACGGCAGAGAGACATGTCAGAAATCTTCGACGGCAGCCCTCGTGGACCACAAACTAGCGTCTCATCCCAACAAGAGCCAGGAAATCGGAGCGTGAGTCGTGTGTCGGAGCGCTCGATCACTGTAGAGCATAGGATAAGCGTCGAGGTCTGATCATGCTCCTAATGAGAAGACCTGCCATTCCTTGTCCAGCTGGCTTTTTCGAGCAGCGCACAAGGCGCAATATTGATGGGCCGAGGCAAGTTAGGTGTGCCGGATGTCAGAGCTCAAGGGCATTGCTGGACTCGACGGCGTAGCTGCCAATACTCTCAGCTCGGCCGGCCGAGCGTTGTCTTTGCCAGACATAACATCCGAATCTCCTTCCAGCCTCCAATGGCAAGCACTTCTGATGCTTGGCCATGGTTGGCAGTATCCCAGGGCTCGGCGCTCCAGAGAACTCTAGGCGTCGCATAGAAGGATGTTATTATAGCCGTATCCGTTTGATGATTGGATACTCCCAACCTATCACGTTGACTCATTCGAAGAAAATCTCTTGAAAGATATTCACTACTGGTTCACAGGCACCTTTCGTCGCTTCGAGTATAGCTTCACCATTCATAACTCTTGTCAGTCAGTCACTCGAGCCCCAGGCTGCATTCAGTCTCGCCCTCGAAATTGTCGGCAATCTGATCTCTTTACATTCCCGAAGACGGGGAGCATATGTTGCGGACATCAAGATGATGCGATGATCTTCAGAATCTCTGGACGCCGATGGATTTTGTGATTGGCAATGTCGATTGCATGATGCTGTCGCAGCGGCACTTGAAGGTGTTGATAAGCAAAGATATCCGAGGGACGTCAAATTATCGATGAAGTATTGACGCCAGCATTACTTCAGCGGCTCGTCGCGCACCTTCCAGGTTAGCTCCAACCTTATTTGTTTGTGGCACGAAACCTGCAAACATCCGAGACATCAACCTTCCTTGTTCATTCACAACAACTTCCGCTACTTAGGGTGTGTCTACTTGCTAGTCGGTGGATCGGTGGACCGGTGCGTTCTCATATAATCTTTCTACCGGTTTATCTACCGACTATATCTACCGCTTTGTCTACTTCTATTTCCGGTAGTTATCGTCGGTAGATTGTAATTAATTACTATAGCGTCGTCCGAGCGCGGTATGCTATTATTAGAAGGTCTAGCCGTCTACCGAAAACGCGGTTTAAAAGTAGGTTATTAGTAGATTAGCGATATACGCGTATAGCCTCTTTTATACTATCTTCTCTTCTATACTACCGCTTTCTAAGCTCTTTCTTATAACATTAAATAATAGATCCGAAGCTCTAGGTCGGCTTAATATTATATATAGTAATAGCGAGCTAGCATACGGCCCTCGCGCCTTTGCTAAAGCGGAAATAGCGTAGGAGGTAGTATCGACCGTCGGATATTATAAGGACGTTAACTTAGCTAAAAAAGGCGCGATATAAGGTGTTTCGGGTGCTATATAGACCGGAGCAAGAGTGTTATAAGGTAACTAGTTTACGGCCGCCAGTATTAAAGAGTTTAATCTAAGAGATAGAAGAAAGAGGGCTTCTGCGGTATAAAGGTTAGCGTAACGATATTACAGTCGCTAAGAAGGTAATAATCTATCTAGACTTTGTTAGGCATAATCCAACTATTCGAGAGCTAAGGCGGCATTATTAATACGCTAATTTGACCTTCGAGCGGATTATTAAAGAGGTTAGTATTGCGCTATATTATATAGCGGATATATATATATAATAACCGGACGACTAGTCGCCTTATAAGAGGCTCGTAACTAGACGAGATGCTAGCAAATTCAAGTACTTCGAGAACGCCGTTAGAGCTATAGATAGCTGCCTCGTACCTGTTAGTTTGCTATAGTTAATTTAAGGTCTATATCGCTATAGGAAGAATTACATTACGCAGAATGTAATAGCGGCTTGTAACTTCGATATAAAGGTCTAGTACGTACTTGTTAGATACGAAGGAGCTAGAAACGACGGTTAGGTATTGCGGAAGGCATATTAGAAGGGATTTAACGTACCTACTAGCAAGTTCTACTTAGTAGATAGTAGCTATTCCTTTAAGGACAAGCGGCTTCTTGTACTATATAAAAGGATAAGGTATTACCTTCGAGAACAGGCGGCTACTAGACGTAGGCCGGATAATAAGGAAGAGCTATATAACCTTCGGTACGCTCAACTTCGTAACGTTATAGAGCGGCTATTTAGGGTAATATAGAAGCGCTTCGAGATTGTCCGTATCGGCGCTCGCGAGAAGTATTCTATCCGCTCGCAGTCGAGGTTTATTATATCCTGCTTTGTAGTCTATAACTTTATCCTTTGCTACGGCAAACAACCGCTTCGTACGGAGCTATTAGCTATACTCGATCTACTAGTCGAGGAAGGTTAGGACGAGGACGAAGAGCCGGTCGTTATAGCGGACAACGAGGACCTATATTAGCGATTTCGAGAGGTGTTTGCATAGGGAATGTATAATAATTATAAGCAGTATTTAGAAGACAATAGAATAGACGAGCGAGAAGTCTAGGACCCGGAGTTTTAGGCGTAGGGGATTAGTAATGTTAATAGAATAATATCGAAAACAGGATTAATTAGATTGTATAAGGAATTTAGTAAGGACCGCTGTTTCTATATTCTAACCGTTATATTCTAACTATTGCTCGCTCTCCTTTAATATTAGTATGCGTCTAATCGCTAGGCTCTTAGTACTAGAAAGTGAGGTTTAATAATTCGTATCGCCGGGATATCTTTTCTTTATATATAAAAGACCCCGCACGTAACCGCGATTTATTAGCAAAAACTAACAACACCTCTATACAAATTAATAGTATAGACGTTAGCGTACATTTTAAACGAAAAAGTAGTCCTAATTATCGAACTTCTCGACCTTCGGTAGTATATTAGTACTTTAAAAACAACCTTCTTACGCGATATAACTCTCTCTCTCTCTATTATAATAATGCAACTAACTACTGACGACTATATCTATGCGGCAAAGGGCTATTCTGCATATACGGATACTTAGGATATACGTAGCTATTAATGCTAGGTAATAGCTAAGGTCTAGGTTTGATATCCTATAGCACCTAGCGGAAATACTCGTCTAAATAAGACCTCTTCTTCTTATCTCGTACCTACTTCCTTACGATAGCGATATGCCCTATATTAGGCTTGCCTACTTCTATCGCAAGGAGGGCACGATCCGCTATACTAACTCCTACTAGAATATCCTCGTCTATAAGGCGATTAGCGATATCTCTAGTATTAATGTCTATACTATATTCTACGCGTTTCTTTAGCGCTTTAGCCTCTTTAGTGCGCACCCTCTTACGCTTAATAGCAGCATCCTTACGAGCCTACTAAGCGTCGTCTCGAGTAGCCTTAAGGAAAGCCGATAACGTCTGTTATAGTAGAATTTAGCTCTTCTTTATAAGACTAAGTATAGCATTATTATCCTTCTTACCCTTCTTCTCGGCGTCTAATTTGGCCTACTTCTTAGCAGCCTCTCGCTTCGTAGTATACGCCTTTGCGTACCGCGCGGCAACGAGTACTTATACTTCTAACTCCAACAATATCGATAGGTCTAATCCGCTATTAACGTCGGCCGCAATTAACTCGTCTCGTTTCTTAGCGGTTATTCCTTCTAGAAGTAGCACTTTAGTAGCTGCCTCGCCTTTTTCCGCCGCCTTCTTACTTTTATCTTTACCGTCGTCTTCCTTGTCCGATCCGCTAATATCCGTATTACTGTCTTAAGTAAGATTAGTACTAATCCCCGCCTCGTTGCCGCTCGCTATATTTAACTCGATAATATTAAAGAGCTAGGTAGCAAACTCTAGACACTCGTCGCACTATTAATTATACTCTAGATACTTCCGGAAGTGCTTATTAGCAACCTCCTCGTTGCTAGGCTTTAGAGGGTGTCTATTCTAGCCGCTTATATACTTTAAGTAAGCGGTATATAGATAGTACTTCTCTTTAAAGGTCCGCTAGCGCGCTTTATAGCCTTCTTCCTTAAAATACAGCTTAAACTTTAAGCTTATCTACGTAGCAATGCGGCGGTAGTATTTAATATAGAAGCTATTGCTATAGTTTATTAACCCCTTGTCCTTTAGCTTCTTTACCTCCTTTAAGAAGTATTCCTTATAGACCGCCTCCTATCGACTAATCTCTAGAAACTCGGAGCTAACTATAGGCTTAGTACTCGGCTTAGACTTCTTGCTAACTAGTGTCTTTTTAGTAGTATTCTTGCGCTTCGCAGGAGTCGTAGAATTGGTCGTTTTAGCCTTCTTCGGCGCTATATTTGGTAGATACTATACTAACAGTAATATATAGATATAATAGCTTTATAATAGCTCGAATTACGCGTCTACGTGCTACGGTCGCGACTAATTTACCGCCTTAGCGACTAGCAGTGTACGGTCTTTCAAATCCACCGATTTGTCTACCTTAAAAAGCGGTTATCGGAAATTAATTGCATCGGTAGAAGATTACTGAGTATCGACAATCCACCGATCCACCGACCAGCAAGTAGACACACCCTTAACCCAATCCTGACAACGTACATCAACAGCAAGAGCGGCAACATCGCCAACATGGCCGGACCAGAAGCCATGGAAGAAGCTGGTCAACCATACTGCACTTTGAAAGGAACGCTGAATGACGGGCTGCTTGCAGGCATCCAGAGCATGGGCTATGGGTAAATAAAACGTCTGCGCGAGTTTGGCCACTCTTGATCAAGACTTACTGACGGAAAATCGTAGCTTCATGACTCCAGTCCAGCAAAAAGTCCTCACCGAGCTACCCGACTTCAGCGCAGATTGCCTTGTTCAAGCGAAGACTGGCACTGGCAAAACGCTCGCTTTTCTCCTACCCGCAATCCATTCTCTTCTCACCAAAGCTTCCATAGCGACTGGCCAAGTCGCAATCTTGGTGTTGTCGCCAACTCGCGAACTCGCGCTCCAGATTGCCAAGGAATGCAATGCTGTCACCGCCAAGCTGCCTCGCCGCCTCGAATGCCACACAGCATATGGCGGAACCTCGAAGGAACGTGACCTGAAAGCTTTCCTGAACGGAGATCCCAAAATCGTCGTTGCGACACCAGGTCGACTCAATGATTATCTGAATGATGACTACGTTGCGGAAAAGTTCGCCGACCTTCGCACTTTAGTCTTGGACGAGGCCGATCAAATGCTGGAGCAAGGTTTCCTCGTAGCCCTCAACGACATCCTGCGCCGACTTCCTCAGAAATCCAAAGCCAACTGGCAAGGCATGTGCTTCAGCGCCACAATGCCCAAGAAGATCGAAGGCGTCCTTCCCAAAGTGCTCAACAAAGGGCATATTCACCTCACCACCATCGACCCCGATGAAACACCCACAATCGACAAAGTGACGCAGCACTCCATCATCGTCCCATCAAATCAAGAAGTGTACCCTGCACTGTGGGATTTGCTACAAACAGAATACAGCAGCTGCTCTGGCGACTTCAAAGCCATCGTCTTCGGCACAACTGCAAACGGTGTAGCACTCATGTACGCTCTCTTCTCAGCACTTCTGGAAGGCAGCAATACGTTACAAGTGTTTCAACTACAATCACGTCTATCTCAAGCAAACAGAACTCGAACCACAAATGAATTCAAAGCAGCCAAAGCAGGCATCATGTTCGCATCGGACGTGATCGGTCGCGGCATGGATTTCCCAAACGTCTCCCACGTCGTACAAATCGGTCTCCCATCTAGTGGTGATCAGTACGTACATCGTGTCGGACGAACTGCTCGAGCAGGAAACGAAGGTCGAGCTATCATTATCCTGACGCAGCGGGAGAGCTTCTTTCTCAAAGTCAACAAAAGATTGCCAATCACGCCGTACCCAACAGCTCTTGCCAGCGCAACAGGGGAAACGCAAAACTCGGACATCGAAGCGGCTTTCACCAAAGTCGATGAGACGACGAAAAGCAAAGCGTATCAGGCTTGGCTCGGTTTCCACAAGACTTTCACGAAGCAGCTTCAACTCACCAACGATACGCTCGTGCAAGAAGCGAATGATTACGCTGCAGCCATGGGTTGTCCTGAGACGCCGATGATCGACAAGAAGATCGTGGGCAAGATGGGCTTGAAGGGCGTGAAGGGTTTGAATGTGGGCCATGTTGAATCTAATGGTCCGCCGAGGAGAAATGGCGGGAGTGCAGCAGATGGTCGTATCGAGAAGAGAGGCGGTAATGGTGGTGGAGGAAGAGGTCGGGGTGGTAGGCGTGGTGGTAGAGGAGGATAATCTGCTTCCGGGAAAGACGGGGTTACAGTCAGACCAATGCACCACAAAGGCGTTCTTTTAGCATGATGTGATAGAGATAGAGAGAGAGTGCGCGATACGCGATACCCGCGGACGCTTCACTGTAGTCGTCCGTCAATGAAGCAGTATTTCTGTTATTTTGTTGGACGGAAGTGCTATTCGCGCCCTGTTCTAGATCTCTGGATGTGGGAGAAAGCTTGTCATTTCGCGACGTAAGCAGGTAGCATAGCTCCCTGGAATTTGGAAGCTGCCCAGCAAAGCCGATGGCCTTTCTTTGCTCGAAACGCAGTGCGAAAAGTGGTGTAGTGTGAAGAATGTTGGTGAAGGATAGGTTGGATAAATTGACGAGAAGCTGCAGCACGGGGGCGGCAGCATCGATGTGATTCGTTGCTGCCCGCAGTTTTGACAAGACAGTCTGAGCATTGAGCACCACGGAATCGGACTGCTCGCGGAGACCCAATGCTTCCCGGTCGCTAACAACGACTTTATGTTTGACACTCAGTCGCCGCAAAAGACCAGCACGGAATAGCAATAGCCGTAGCGATCCAGCATGAGGTGCGTATGGATGCGGACCAATGCCCAGAACATCGGCGCGCGGGGCAGAGCAGAGGTAACGATGATTGTTGGTGTACAGGTTCGGGCAGCAACTGCGAAGCTCCCTCATCAAGGACTGGTACTACTACTACATTGCCTACGACGACCTGAAAAAGAGTCTGCGCACCGACTTCGAGCACACGCCTGCTATCGCCCAGGCTCACAAGAAGAGGCAGCCGTGGTCGGAGGAAGATGAGCGCCGCTTCGTGAACCAGCTCGAGCAGGAGCTGGACAAGGTCTTCACCTTCCAGAAGGTCAAGAGCCAGGAGATCATACGCCGCATCAAGGCCAGCGAGAAGGAAGTGCAGGAAGTCATCGCCCGGGCTGAAGCGGCGCAAAATGGCGACGACCTCGCCAAGCAGAATGCACCCTCGGAAGACGAGTTCTTGCTGCTCGAAGAGGACCTCTCGGACATCATTGCAGATGTCCACGACATTGCCAAGTTCACGCAGCTGAACTACACCGGTTTCCAGAAGATCATCAAGAAGCATGACAAGCAGACGCATTGGCACTTGAAGCCTGTCTTCGCTGCACGACTCAACGCTCGTCCGTTCTTCAAGGATGACTACGATAGTACCGTTGTCAATCTCTCGAAGCTCTACGACCAAGTCCGGACACGAGGCAATCCCACCAAGGGAGACTCGTCAGCCGGCGGCAAGCAACAGAACTTTGTGCGTCAAACCACCAAGTACTGGGTGCATCCAGACAACATCACCGAGCTGAAGCTCATCATCCTGAAGCATCTGCCTGTGCTTGTCTTCAACCCTAGCAAGGAATTCGAGAAGAAGGACTCCGCTATCTCGTCCATCTACTACGACAACCCTGAAACATGGGAGCTCTACGAAGGCCGCCTGAAAAAGACGGAAGGTGCCGAGGCCATACGTTTGCGATGGTACGGAGGCATGGAGGTCGACACAATCTTCGTGGAGCGGAAGACACATCGAGAAGATTGGACCGGCGAGAAGTCAGTCAAGGCTCGCTTCTCCACCAAAGAAAAGAATGTGAATGCATACCTCCGCGGCGACATGACGACCGAGCAGATCTTCGAGAAGATGCGCAAGGATGGCAAGAAGAGCAAGAAGGAGATCGACGACCTCGAGCAGCTTGCGAAAGAGATCCAGTTCCGCGTCATCGACCGAAAGCTGGTCCCTGTCTGCCGCTCCTTCTACAACCGAACAGCCTTCCAGCTGCCAGGCGACGCTCGTGTTCGTGTCTCTTTGGACACTGAATTGACCATGGTTCGAGAGGACAATCTTGATGGCCGGCAACGAGCAGGCAAGAACTGGCGTCGCATGGACATTGGCATTGATTATCCATTTCCGCAGCTGCCGCCTGAGGATGTAGAGCGCTTTCCATACGGCGTGCTTGAGGTGAAGCTGCAGACTGCCCAAGGTCAAGAACCGCCAGAGTGGATAAGAGAGCTCACGGCTTCTCACCTGGTCGAGGCAGTTCCTAAATTCTCCAAATTCATCCACGGATGTGCAACACTGTTCCCTACCCGAATCGACCTCCTGCCCTTCTGGTTCCCGCAAATGGACACCGACATCCGCAAACCTGTCAGCCACAAATTCGGCATTGAGCGACCTGGCCAAAGTACAGATGTGAGCACTAGCGCAGCAATGGATGACGACAGCGATGACGAGCTTGAGGAAGACGAGGATCTGGATGACGATGAGAACCAACAAAGGTTGCGGGCTGCTCGAGATGCCCTAGAACAACACGAGCAAGACCGGCATCTTGCCTCGAATGGTCACGCTAATGGCGACGCGCACGACCAGGATGGCAACATCATGGACGAGGAAGAGCGCATGGCCCACAAGCCATTGATCTCTGTGGACGATGACTATCCAATCTACGACTCCGATGACGAGGAGGAAGCTCTCGAAGACGCCAAGAAGAAGGGTGGTTTTGCGTACCGATGGAAACTGGTCAAGTGGTACTCTGGAGTTGCGGGCGACAAGCTTTTATATTTCCTCAAACAAGCTACGCCTTTCCCAACGCCGACGCAAATCCCCGCTGCAGAAGGTCGAATGGGTATCCCTCGCGGCGCTGGCGTGTCGGAGAAGCGCTTCAAGGCGCCCAAGGGCAAGAAGATCCACGTACCTGTTCGTGTGGAGCCGAAGGTGTCGTTTGCTGCAGAAAGGACGTTCTTGGCATGGGTAAGTCAACCATAACTTCATCTTATGCCGCACTACTAACATGACGCGCAGCTCGAGTTTTCCATCATCCTCGGCTCTATTGCAGTCACGCTCATCAACTTCGGCGATCGTGTCGGACTCGCAGCATCAGTGGCATTCACCATTCTTGCCATCATCGCTCTCTTCTATTCCATAGCCATCTTCCTCTGGCGCGTTGATAGGATCAAGCAGCGCAAGGCAGTGCAGTATCATGACAAGTGGGGACCGTCGGTACTATGCGTTGGACTCCTAGCTTGCGTTAGTGTGGCGATTGCGTATCGCTTCAAGTATGGAGGTGAGGGTGACTTGCGAGGCAAGAACCCGGGTCGAAGACCTGGAGGCGAAAAGTCTGTGATACATGTGTAGACCGTAGGTATGGTGTGAATTTCGAGCGAGCGAGCGCAGTGTATAGTAGTACAGTCAGGCAGATACTAATACAGCGATCAGATCTTGCGGCATTTTGCCGATGAGATTATAGCTTGGCATTTATGCCTTCCAAAAGCTGTGTGTCAAGGTCTTGAAAGCCAGACTGCCTCGCTGTGCTGTGCTGACTTCACGCCGGTCGAGAGATTTTTCTTTTCAGCTCCATCTCTCTGAGATTTTGATACGATGAGCAGCTATCTCCTACTCTTCCTTGCATGTGAATGCTCGGCTCGGCTCGCACATTCCCCGCGTATGTCTACGAGCTGCGATGCCACGGCTCACGGGGAGGTGCTACAAGGAAGTCGCAGTCTCGCAGATCTGAAAGAAGGAGAAGATAATGAATAATCGTAATATCCGGAGTCGGGATAGAGGGACGGTATATCGGGCAATGGGCATTACTCTTATTGCCTGATTCTGCCTAAGATATATATCGGATAATCGGAGTAGAATGGTTTTATAGAGGAGGAAGATAACCTACGAGTCTTCGACTCTTCGGTATAATCGTACGTTTAAGCATTTAGATATTCAACTTTCAAGTAGATGCTCTTTGTGTTTATCTAATGTTAAGGGAATAGACTAAGACTTCGGAATAGTGCAGCTAGTCTAGTAACAGCTTCTTAGCCAAAAACGCCTAGGGGTCTATTTTCGCAAACTGACTTCAATCCTCGCGTCTGACATGCCACAACAATGTTCCACGCTCTCTGCAGAAGACATCATCACACTCACCTCGCCGCCGTCAAGCGATGCCTGAGCGCTCAAGTCAGCTGCTTTAGCTCCTCTGCAGTTCGCTGCCATGCTTCTCGACCACCCTCTCCTCCGCCGCCTAATCGACCACAACCCGAGCCCGCCGCATACGTTAAACGCCAGCCGCAGCTAGTCGCCCTTCAAAGCCGGCCTGAGCTCACTGTGGACGAGTTCGAAGAGCTTGCAAACCGCGGCGAGGGCTCGATCGAGCAGGCCGAGGCATGTCTATACCAGCTGAAAACTCAGCTGTCGCAGCTTCCTCTACGAGAGCGGCATGAGAAGTGCTTGCAACACAACGCGGGAAAGCGCATCTTGCTCTGGTATTGGAAGCGGCGAGCGACGCATGAGCCTACTCCGAATCGCACATTTGCCCAACTACTCACCTGGTAAGCGTAAGCGTCACGAATGTAGTAGCACCTGCCTCATCAGTGCGTTATACAGGTTCATTGTGCCGGAGGAACGCGACGAATTCATCTTTCAATGGCTAGAGAGAGAGATTGAAATAATACAAAGCGAACACTCAGAAGGGAGCTTGGGTTACGCGGCAGCTATGGCAACACTGTGCGGTTGGGGACATCTTTGGCTGGCAGGACTGGCCAAGAACCACACAGAATGGTCCCCGCACAGGTCTCCTGCCAATGCTTTAAAGTGCTTCCAGAGAGCTCTCCAGAAGTTCGGTCAATACCCATCTCCGCAAAACCCATCCATGTTGCTCGGCATCCGTGTTGCCACTGAACATGCCATCCGAAACACAAGGCACCCTCCTTACGACTCTACGCTGTGGGACAGCTACTATCAGAATTTGCCCCATGGAGTTGAATGTCGACGAGCGCAAGCAACCGCTCTCCTCTATCATCCTTCCATGGCTGACGGCCTTGCGTTCTACGACTACTTGCAGTGGCTCTCAAGGGATGGAGTGCCTAAGGTGTGGTCCGCTCGAGATGCCGCGAAGAGCTCTTTCACAATGCTAGTCCTTCGTGCGAGCTACATCCTAAGGCTGCAGGGCCATGGCGAAAAGGCGCAATGGCTTCGGGGCCAGGCAGAATTGCACAACGCGCCCTTTTGCATGGCAAATTCAGAAGGCTTCTTCAAAGATTGCGACCTTGATCCGAAGCTTGAACCATTACGACGGAAAGCGGGTGTTTCCGGACTTTCCAGTCTCACCTCAGACACCTACCAACTGCATCTTCATGAGCTGCACACTTGGCGTGGCAAAGGAATAACTTGATGACAACTTCTGGGATCTTTGCGCCAGGAGTTGGCTTGCGTACGGAAAGACATTTACGAGGAAGCAATGGGTCACAATTGTCATCTCGTACCTCTACATCTCGAGGCATGATCAAGAGTGCTGCAAATGAATTGCTCCACACTCGGTCGCGTGGTGGCTCTTTGCAGGATCCGAATCCACACCACCACACAACCGTAAATTTGCACAATTCGAGTGAGACACACAGGGAAAGAAGCCAAATCCGTACATCCCGGACGCCGTCGCATCTAGAGCTTGTTCGATGTTCCTCGGGTTCCCTGCAGCGTCGCATCTAGAGCTTGTTCGATGTTCCTCGGGTTCCCTGTAGCGGCACGTAAACGACACGGACACGGACTGTGCCCCTCAAGGGTTGGACAAACATTCTGCTGGCCAAGGGAATCGCGCTTGCACAATAAGTTGCTGGGGATCCCTATTGCTGCTCATCATCCGAAGATAAGGACAGACGAGCACCAGTCTGCGATATCTTCTGCTGCTCAACTGGTAGCAGCGCTTGAATTCTTCGCTCATCATGAAGTGCGCTTCGGCTGTCGCAGCTTGCTTGATCTTCGTCGCTCACGTTGCGGGCCTACCCTCTAAAAACATTTCTGTAAGATGGACGCAGATCGGACCAGAAACTGCACACACTGACCGCTTCACAGCCCCGATTCGCAACCGACGGCTCCCCTCGATTCGAATGCTATGAGATCACTTGTAACCCGATGGGAGATGGCGACACGCAATGCATCGAATGGGAATTTTGTGGTGGTGGCTGCTCCAATACCTCCTCCACGTGTTTGGACTGAAGAATGAGGAGCGTGTCATCCGTAAAGAGGGCATCATGGTCACGCGTCAAATCGAAATCGGTACACGCCGTTTCCACCAACACCGAGGCGACTTCCCTCTACGAACCAATCCACGCCATCAAGAGCTCGGCATTCCAGGCGCATACCAGAACCCACGCACACACAGCAGGGAGCAGTGATGTCTTTGACACGCCTGTCAGACTATTGAAGAAAGAGACCAGGTCGTTGTTATTGCACGAGAGATTCGTACATACATCCTATGGAATATCGACAGGGATATCAATGAAATCAGTCTGTGAAAGTTTAGAGGCTGGGCACAGTACCCATTGAATGCATATTCGAAACGTGAGTATCACGTTTGAACCAACCCAAGATGGAGATTTTGACGAGTCTACACATCTCACTGCATGAGCCAGACAGGCTCCTCTAGATGGGCAGAGGCTGTCGACCCGGATTGCATGCCCAGGCGACAACCAAACAGGTGCAATGACGCGCCGCAAAGGTACACGCGTGGAATCGCCACGCGTCCGTCGGAGTGAATCGATCTTGCATTGGTCGTGAAATGCTGCCGAGAACTAAAGAACTACCTCACATCTAGAGTCTACTTACGACCTATTCAAACCCAAACTTCGATGCTCGCAACGATTTCAACGAGACGTCTGCTCATCCTTTCCCTGATCTCTTTCTTGCTCTGCAGTGGCCAGTGATTCAACATCAGGAGGCAGTATCGTTTCGGGCTTCTGCAAAGACTCAGAGGCAGAGTTACCCCAATTCTGGCGGTACTGTGGTATACCGATGCAAAGAGAGAAAGGTAGTATTGCGATGGATTTGTTATCAAGTGAGAACTATTGCTCGCCGAGAGGTCGTTCCGGGAGCTTCTCGAGCAGAATGGACTCAATTGCCAACAGGATTTTCGTTTGCTGCAGAGTACCCAAAGAGTTTGGCGATCGGAAAGTTGCGATGCCAAAGAAAAGACAACGTTGCCGCCTCGCTCCGCAAAGGAGCATTAAGCCGGAAGGGAGCCTGACCAGTATCTCTTCGCCCTCACTGAATGTTGCTTTGAAGAACACGGTTGAAATCTCCGTCAGGAAAAATTTTCAATGGCAACCAAGTCATCGGCAAATGGTGTTGGCGAGCTCATGGATATTGGAATTCAGGTGCCGCTCTCGGAGACGCTATCTGGAGAGAAGGTGAGTTTTTCGCACGCCAATAAGTATATAACACTGGTGTCTGCCACTCGTATACTCATGCAACCCCGGACCAAAAGCGGCAAAGCGTTGAGCCGCCAGTGATCTTGTAAGACTCCATCTCATTATCGCGTCATCTCGAGTGTTGAGATGAGAAGTGTGTCTCTGGGGAGTGGTGTCTGATATCTTCCAAGTCGGTGTCGATCCAAGGTGAAGTGAGAGAATTGGATGCGAGGTCTGAGTAGAGCTGTCGCACCCAAAAATGTGGGATACCTCGAGGAAGTAGTTTGGACTTGCAAATGCACCGTATCTTTTCGCCTTCCAGTTGGCATCAGTGAGGCCCTTTCTCGCTCTCACTCGGTCATGTGGCTGACGTTGCGCGCACAGCACGGATCAAGTACGGAAGTAGTGGTGAAGGAACTGTCAGGTCAGAAGTTGAGTAGTGTAGCTATACATACGTACTTGGCAAAACGCTCAATGCGCCTCATATGCCATCCTCTCCCCAAAGCTTTTCTTTATACATGGGTTTCAAGCATCAAGGCCTCCCTCCTCCCTCATTTCTGGTTCCTGCCCGCGGCCTTCTCCGAATTTGACTGCGAGATGTTGAGACCGAGGCCATCTGTGTCGAGATAGACCTTGTTTTGACTCTTCTCCAAAATGCTGGCGATGTTCCTGGCGTTCTCAAACTCCCTCAGATCGACGTATGATCGGCTCTTCTTGATTGCGTCACCAATCAGTTCTGCTGATCGAGCTTCACCTTGTGCGCGAACAACCATTGCCTGCTTCTCTTGACGTGCCTTGTCGACGACGAAAGCGGCTCGCTGGGCTTCCTGCTGGGCGACTTGCTTGGCTTCGACGGCTGCTGTGAATTCGGGCGAGAAGGCAAGGTGCTGTAGCAATATTAGCACGGGAAGTGTAAAGCGTTGTTTTTCGCACGGACCGTAAGCGATACATCATCCAACAGGATGTTGAATCTGGCTGCTCTCCGCACAAGATTGTCGCGCACTAGTCTCGAAACATTCTCGCGCTGTGTGATCAGCTGGCTGGCATTGAATTGTGCCACCACGCTCTTCAAGACTTCGTTCACGATGCTGGGAAGCACTCTCTCGTCGTAATCTGTGCCGAGCGTCCTGTAGATCTGGGGGAGTGCATCTATTCGTGGCCGCGAAAGAACACGGCATGTGATATTCACCATCTGCAAGTCCTTCGTGCCGGTGAGGGAGGCTACGTTTCGTGGTTTCGCGCGAACATCGTAGTCGACGGGTGTCTCGAACCAGGGAATGCGAATGTGGGTTCCTTCATTGTAGATCTCCTTGCCAACGCCACCTACTCTTGTATACTTGATGGCGCGATGGCCACCCTCGACTGAGCAGTGTTAGCCCATAGCCAGCTCGTACACATAGCAGGCGCATACCGTTGAAGAGCGCGTTGTTGAAGAACCAGACACCGCCACCAAGGAGAAGCAGACCTCCAATACCAGTCAAAGCTCCTCTAGGACCCGGAGCACCACCACCGCCAGCGCCGAATCTGCATCGTTCTCAGTATTGTTTCTATGTCCATATTGCCTCCATTTCTGCTCTCTGCATACCTCTTGCCCTGCTGCTGTGCTCGCTGGATGTTCTTCTGCAACGCCTCCCACATCTGCCTTGGATCGTTTGCCATCTTTGATGTCGTTGACCCTCCTTGGATGGATGCAGACGGTGGCAGAGACGGCTGTGAATGCGATGTTCGTGATGTCTACGACGTGCCTTATTCGAGCTCGCTTGATGGAAAGCTAGTTCGGGTAGTGCCGAGCGGAAGACCATCTTGGATTTCCGCGCTCACCCCTGCATAATCGCATTGCCATGTGAATATGTGGCCACACTGGCCAGTTGCCGGTTGCTGAACGAAAAGGCTATCGTCGTCCCACTGTCAATGGAGACTTCTTCCTGAATGCTCAGCACTCCGGCGCGATCAATCATCACCATACCATCACCTTCAGCTCCTCCGTCGTAGATGTAGCCAAGGAAGTCAGAATTGCCGTCACCGTCATTGTTGTTGGTTACATCGCCATAACCTCCTTCAAGACCTGGGCTTCCTGGAAGAGCAGCGATACGCAGTAGTCTTATTACTCTTCACGTTTCACATTCAATCGCTTGTACAGATTTGGACATAAGGCACAGCGTGGAAATACACATACACACTCTCATTCCTCTTCTACGAGCGATCGACGAATCCTCCTTCATCTCCACCAACCGCACAGCTATAAGGATCCACACGCCCTTTCGACTTCGACCGACAGAATAACAGGACAGCTCTTGCGCAATAGCGCTTACATTATTGTCTCACAATGCCCCAACGTCTCCCACAAACGTTGCTAGCTCTCCTCTCGGCCACTCTCGCGTCAGCGCAGACCACCTTGAACGAGTTATCCTTCGGCCTTCGGTACCCAATATCAACAGACGGCCATAAATTACCTGGGTGGCATCTGAGCAGCGTAAATCATGATATACAAGTGTTGAGTGATCGTGTGATCCTCACACCTCCAGTGCCAGGCAATGCGAAAGGAGCACTATGGTCAGATACATCTGCGCCCTCAGCAGACTGGACAGCGACGCTCGAATTCCGAGCCTCAGGACAAGAGACGGGAAGTGGAAATCTACAATTATGGTACGCAAAAGACAGTCGCCCGATTGGACCACAGAGTGTCTACAATGTCGAGGAATTCGACGGCTTGGTGTTGGTGATCGATCAATATGGAGGCTCTGGCGGCAAGATTCGGGGATTTCTCAACGACGGCGACAGAAACTTTCGCGCCTCCGCGTCCCTCGAGTCATTAGCCTTTGGACATTGCGATTACAGTTATCGTAATAAGGGGATACCCAGCAAACTCAAGATTAGCAACCAGGGGGGCTTGCACGTAACGGTGGATGATAAAGCATGCTTCTCCAGCGACAAGATTTTTTTGCCAGCTGGCTACTACTTTGGGATTACTGCTACTACTGGAGAAAATCCGGATTCCTTTGAAATCACCAAATTCCTCGTCCAGACTGGTGCTCACCAAGCTTCGACGGGACAACCTGTGCAGCAAGAACAAAAGATGGACGCCTTCCCGGGCGCTCCTGAGGCGGTGCCTGACCGCGCCGCGGATCAGATCAAAGGACAAGAAGCGCAATTCGCAGATCTCCACAATCGTCTCCAATCAATGTCTCATCACATGGGCAACATGTTTTGGGAAGTCCGAGAACTCGCAAAGCAAATGGACCAAAAGCACCAAGAGATCATGCGAAAAGTCGAGAACATTGGAGGAAGCAGAGAAACCGGTCTCTCATCTGTGACCGTGGATAAAATCAGCTCGATGCACGATCGATCGATTTCTATGGAGACTGATATCAAAGCCGTGAGAGAAGATCTTGAGGGCAAGGATTTCAAGAAGGCCATGGATGAACTGCATACTGCTTTCAGCTTCCTTCATCACAATTTCCATAATGAACTGGAACCGAAGTTCGAGAAAGGTGAGCAACAACGAAATCATCATCAAAGCTTGCATCGCACTTACTAACAATCTTTCCACAGCCATCAAAGCCCACTCCGCTTCCCTCAACCACTTCCTCCTCGCCGTCTTCATCGTCCAAGCTGTTTTCGCAGTCCTGTATATCTTCTACAAGAAGCGAAAGCACGCCGCGCCTAAGAAGTTCTTGTAAGTCAAGAGAGGGAGGGTAAAGAACAAGAAACAGCGGTTTGTGGGCTGAGAACTTTTTGTGCTCACAGCACCGAACCACAGCAATGGCCTGCGGGCTTTGTAGATGGTATGAGGATGAATGGCCAACCTGTTACACAACAGCAGATGAACGGGTATGCATATCGGTAGATGAGCAAAGAAGGGCGGTGTATCATGTGTATCTGTCAGGGAAAGGATACAATTGGAATACGCTGGCGAGGATGTCGATGAGCGGGATTTTTGGAGTAGTGAAGCGGGCAAATGCATTGCATTCGAATTTTCTGAAAGCTTTTTCACTCTTCGTTAATCGTTATGCTGAGATGATCGTACCTCGAGGTTCTTGTATTGATACCTGCAGGGGCACAGGAGGCTGACTTGAAAGTTGACAGATGCCAGCTGTTCCTCTGATCGTTCTCCCTTGCTTCGAGGCATGGATCCCTTGGCTGAGCACGTGTGTCTACGACGACCAGGTTGGGGAAGAGCCTTGTTGACAGGCAGCAGTTGATCGATGTAGGATGCTCGAGGCTGTTGAGAATATACGGAGATGGCAGTGGTGAGAGTATGGCTAGAGAATAAGATGCGGTATCGATCGTAGAGAATCTGTGTGTCGTCTGTAAGACTTGGACTTCAATGCTGGATGCATGTTGAGAATGGACTGCTCGTGTCCATTGAAGGTTGCCGTGTTTCCTGATCGGATAGAGAGATTGCTTTCGTTTGTCTCAGGTCTTGGCACTTCAGTTCCTTGAGCGCTCCTCTCTTGTCAGTCCGCAGCCATTGATAGTTTGTGGGATGTGTAAGACTTGCAGGATGTGCCGAGCGCTTGCACTGCTTGAGGATGAAGACATGTCTAGCAGAAAGCAGGTACGAAAACTTACGGCAGTCACCATTGACTGTGTAGCAATTCCATTACCCACAAACGCGCGAGTCAAGATATCGATGTTGTCGAATCCCTGGTCGTAGCCAGTATTCGTTGAGGCTCGGCTGCTGGGAATAGCAAGTATAGCTCTGACTGTGATGCAGAGTAGCGGACATCGCCAGACTCGCTGCATCCATCCAGTCCTCGCACATGCGACAAGCGCAGCTTTGGCATCATCCCGCATTTGGACTGGTCTCGCAATCACCGCCAAACGCATGTTGCCATTCGGATTGTGTCCAGACGTCAACCTCAGCATGCCGGATAGCTGCAGGCACTCTGCAGCTCAGCATGCTCGGAGAGGCTCGGAGGACAGCCCAGACCAGTCATTAGAGGCTCGTGGCCGGCTCCAGCAGTTCGCCCGCTCTTGCTTCGGATTTTGCCCTCGATGCCCTGCATGAGGGACTCCGAGGCGGCCTCGTGAGGCTCTCCAAGTGTGATGGATCCTCGTTGGTCTCGAAAAAGACTCATGGGTAGCACAGTTCGTTTGCTGAGACCGTATTGCCAGTCCTGCGGTTCCAAGACGAGGCGAGCAAGATACGCACGTCCAATTAAGTCTGTGGTTCCTCCAGATCATCTGCGCAAGCTTCACTGGGAGCATGTCAGCTGGAAAGAAGACATCGGAGACCGCGCGTCGAAAGTAGAACAGGAAGAAAAGGGAAAAGATATGAGATATCGGGAATGCTCTGTAGTACTTTCGGAGACGAGAATGGAAATGCAGTTGCTGCTCTTGTGCCACTCGAAGGCACAGAAAAGGCAAAGCACAGGCTGAAGCTGGGCGAAGACCTGCCATATATATGCTGTGTCATCTTCGAGAGGGTGGACATGTGCAGACAAGGCCATGCGGACGGAATGCTCGCGCACGTCAGCATACCAGGGCAGGCGTCCGTCATCCAGGCATTTCCTTCGCAGGCCTCCACTTACAGAACACTAGACTCTTTCGTCGCACCTGCGCCGTGTTCCATGGCGGAAAGTTGAGCCACGTCGTAAGAGCGTGCAGCAGCCATGATGCCTGACGTCCGCTGTTCATGCCCAAAGCATTCGGGTCGAGGCGAAGTGCTGAAAGTCGTGGTCGGCCATGTTTCATCACGGTATGGCGGGAGCGGGAGCGATTCATGTGCTGTCGGGAGTGAGGGCGGGACGATCAACGCGAGTTCGGGCCGCGGCGCTGGAGGAGATGATGGGTGTGTCGCGGTCAGGGGGAGGAGGTGGTGGTGGAAATCGTGGTGCGGTGCCGTCGCGTCCCAGAGTCCAAAATTGTCAGTGTGTCCCACCACATTCGCAGCCCGTGGCCCGTGCTGGCTTAGCGCGTCTCTGACGCCGTGTTTTTGGACCTCATCTTCGGGCCCCAATACGCACAGCAGCATGCGGTGAAGCGCCTACACATGGCAATTGCGCGCATTGACAGCTCTCCGGCATGCCAACCGCCAACCGCCAACCGCCAACCGCCAACCCGCCATGCCGTGTCGTTTTCGCGCCAGCCCACAGCGCAATTGCCGTGCCTTGGTCCTGCCCGCGCTCCGCCCTCGTCAACTTCCTTCCCGCACGTCAATACTGCCAACACATTCCATTGGCACCACAAACTCTTTTCTCTCGACATGGATGCCCTGATCTCGTCTCTTGCGGGCTGACGGCTCTTGCTTGGAGAGGGCTGGGGGCAGGCCATCGCGCGAGACAGAGCATTAGCCTGCAGGGCCTTGCACTATCAACCTCCTCACACATAGCACGAGCCGACTGGATTCCCGCGAGTCAACCCACCGGGGCAGCGCCGGCAGTAGCAGAGCTGATGATATGACCATGCAGCTAGCATTTAGCTTTGCAAGAAGACCAATGGCGGCTTACATTCATTGTCTAGATTCTGCCATGGCCGGGAGAACCGGCGATATTTGCTTCTCCCTCACTCGTTGCTCGAGTCTCCCTGTGGTCCGGCGAGAGCTGTTGAGCATACTGGCCAGCAAGCGACATGCCTGTCTCCATCCGGGTGCAGCTCTCATGCATGGACAGTGGTGTGCTCGCTGACTTGTCACGCCTGTCAACATGTACCATGGGGTATAAAAAGGTGACACGAGAGCTGTCTCCTCCTGCTTCCCTTCTCCTACGTCTGTCTAAGCTTGCTACTGATCTTCGAGTCAATTGACCAACGTAGCACCTCCTCATCTGAGCATTGCTCTACCAACAGCCTATCACCTCACCATGTCTACATCGTACTACCAGTACCCGACTGGCTCATTGCCGGTCAACGTACCAGGCAAATCACCACTGCAGCCCTTCTCCAGAAGCCACAACCGCCATTCGTCAGCATACAGCCAACTCTCAGCTTCACCGCCAGAACGACCAGAAAGTGTCTCTTCGACAGGCGCAGGACTGTACTCATCCGCGTCCAGCGCGTACGGAGGCAGCGACTATGAATCGTCAAGCGGTGCGACCAGCGTCGATTTGCTGGACTACATGAACGATCGCCTCTCGCAAGCATATAATCCAATCCCGCTGGATAAAAATCTGGCAAGGCAGGCGCAAATGTGAGTTTCACCATCATAACTTAGCAGTGAAAGCACGAGCTGACATCTGCCAGGTCTGGCGAGCTCAATGCGAAGAATCGCGAGCTCATGGCTTTGCAAGCACAAGCGAGAGCACGCCTGGCGAAGACCAGAGCGAATTTTGCGGAAGGCATGAAAGCGGCCAAAGACGTTCAACGAGATCTCGAATGGACGCAAAAGAAAGTCTCGTGAGTCTCGCCATCTCGAAATACTGGCAGAACTTGCAATTGACCAATATTACAGCGCCTTGAATCGTCGCGCTGCAGAAAAATACCCAGACCAGTATCGAGCTGCAAGCGACCGATATCCGGCACCGGTCGACTACTGATTGCCACGAATTTCTGATATTTCACGGCGCTGGGTGGATGTTCTGAACAATTCTTACGACGAAACGACTACCTTTCATTGTGTATTTTGAAAATGCGTCCTGGAAGACCGTCAGATCCGATGGCAAGACGTTGCAACAAGCTTCACTGGCCCTTGGCCCATGCTCCAGTACCTTGCATACGACTGCCGCTTTCATCGAGAGACATGCATGAGCCGCGTGCAGTAGTCGATACGCTACACTTTCGTCACTCTGCCGGTAGATCTGCCATGCATTGTTGGCGGGATAGCGGGAGCGATGGGGTCCATGAGGCACCAGGAATATGGTTGGAGCGGGCCGGAGATGGCCTTCCAATGAGTACATCTGCGGATAGACGAGGCGGTCATTCTTTCTACGCTCAACGAATGGGTGGGCATGCGATTTTAAGTTTTGAACGATGGGCTCGGATTGGACGTGGGTGGTCTGTCTGCTCAGCCGCGATACGCGAGACTGCTGGAGGTCGAGCTGTGAGTGGACAGGATGTGTGAAGTAGAATGCTGGGGGACGACGAGAGGAATGTCTGTAGTGTTTCACAACGATCTAAAGTGTTCCTCCTTGTGTTCCACATTGATTGGCTGGGAAGGGTAGATGCAGACGCCGTCGAGGTGCAATATCGCTTCGGGCAGCAATGAGGCGTGTCTGCCACACTGTCGTGCCACAGTTCAGCAGCCACATCGCTATCACATGCTGGTCCAGGAGACGAGGCTGATTCCGATACCTGCCTGTTGAGTGCCTGAACGGACGACTAAGTCACGTGTTATGTGCCAAGATAGACTAGTCTTGTTTCGGAAGGAGAATGTTCTCGCAGCTGCGGTGGCGTTCTGGAATATGCGGGTATGATCATGAAGTGAGCAAGGGTGGAGACGAATTTCTGTTTCCACGCCGGAAAGAGGGGCATCAGGTGAGTTCTAGGAGATGCTGGTAAGATCGTAGATGACTCCAGAAGTATTCGTGTCTGTCAAGTCCAAGGTATAAAGCGAGCCTCGAGGCCTCCCTTCAGTCCATCATCAGAACAACACGATCAAAAGCTTCTACATGCAACGAACCATCAGCAAACTTCCACGACTAGCACGATATACCAAACTCTCCCCGCGAACTTACTCTACAACCACACGCAACATGTCTCTCTTCCCACGATTTGTTCAAGATGAGCTGGCATCTTTCCAGCCACTCTTCAGGTTGGCTGATGACTACGCCAACTACGCCTCGAGAGGCGGCAATGGCACCAACTCCACATACATCTCCCGGAGCTTCAAGTCCTTCACACCCAAGTTTGACGTGAAGGAGACCAAAGAAGCCTACGAGCTCCACGGAGAACTACCAGGCATCCAGCAAAAAGACATCAACATCGAGTTCACGGATGCTCAGACCCTGACAGTCAAAGGCCGCACCGAACACACTCGCGAAGAAGGCACTCGTCCGACCGGTTTCATCGAAAGCCAAGAACAAGGCAAGATCACCGATGGCCACGACTCCAACTACCACAAGCCTTCGGTAGAAGACGAAGCAACCATGTCCGGAGGCAACCCAGATGCTTCCAAGAACTCCCAAGTCCAGAAGTCTGAACAACAACCACAGCACAAGTATTGGGTCTCGGAGCGTTCGGTCGGCGAGTTTGCGCGAACTTTCTCTTTCCCGACGAGAGTCGATCAGGACCATGTGAAGGCTAGCTTGAAGGATGGTATTCTCTCCATTGTCGTTCCGAAGGTTACGGCTCCTTCTAGCAAGCGTATTACCATTGAGTAGGTGGTTTTTCATGGTACCAGGAATTTTATGCACCGGTCCATTGAGCATGGCGGAGGAGTTGGGATTTTTTTCTGATGAGATGTGAATTAGCATAACATATAATCAATCAAAAGTCTTCCAAAATATACATATTACTTTCCTTGTTTCTTTTCCTTTCAACTCTGCAATTGCTTGATGCTGGCTCCAAGTACTACAGTATCATCTTGACACATGTGGCTGACTTGAAGGTTTGTTATGGCTTTCCAGGTTGTTTCCAAGCTTGCCGCAGTGCTTCGTGGTACGCGTTTTGCTTGGTCACATGGCCCTAGTAGTGATTTGCCGCATGTATACACACTAGAGATGGCTCCAATATCACATTGATGAAAGATTAGATGGTAATGTGAGGAAGATTCTGTGCCTGGGTAGTAGTGCTCGAAAGGAAGCTATACCACAAACCTTGAACCCATCCTGACGTCCGAGCTTCCCGACTCGCCGCCGCGGCCGCATCTAGACGTGCGTGTGTGCGTGCGTGTTTCTACCACCAGCCATCTATTTTCTCTGCTTATTGTACTACTGCACCACCTTTACCAACATCGGCTCTCTCGGCCAGTATCGTTTGCGCGCCTTTCGTTTGTGCAGGATTGCATAGGAGACCTCACAGCCACGACGATGGAACGAACGGATTATCCGGGTTTACTGGTAAGCTCGATTCTGGTGGAGCTCTCAGCATTCGTTTGCTGAGGCGGCCCCGCCCTGGCATTCGTTCCTGTGTGATGGACAACATGTGCTGATCGAATGTCCGTGTGTTGGTGTAGCAAAAAGTGCAGCCGGGTCAGGCGGTCGATATTCTTAATGATCGCGTAGCGCAGGTCAAGAGGTTGAATACCAGTATAGCGGATTGGCTTGCAGTTAGTCGTAGCCACAACGCGCGAGATTCCGCGACGACTGACCGGATGTGCTAGGACAGATGTAGGCTGGAGGAGCAATATGCGGCGGGCCTGCGAAAGCTCGCGCGCAGGCCAATTGATGATATGGACCTTGGGTATGGGGCAACGGCGGCAGGACATCATGGCGTGGATGAACTAATGATGGAGTAGCATTTTTTCAGTGCCATGGAATGCGCTGACAGACTCTATGAGCAGCCTGGCGGAGTCGCATCAGGGGCTGGGAGCGAGGATCGAGGTCGACGTCGAAAGACCACTACGAGAATTTGCGAGTGCGAATCGCGAGATGCAGGCCATGACGACCATGCAGGGCAACTTGATGGCAATGGCGAAAGAGGTTGAAAAGGCTCAGGACAAGACATTGAAGCTGCAAGGCAAGGGGGAGAAAGCAGATGCGAACAAGGTCGCGAATGCAAGCTCGGATTACGATACAGCGAAGGTTCAATGGGACTCGCAAGCACCATATGTGTTCGAGACACTACAAGCGCTCGATGAGATCCGCGTGAATACGTTGCGCGATCATTTGACGCAATACGTGACCCTGGAAGTTGATCTGATGGAGAAGAATCGAGTGGCCGCGGAGTCCTCACTGAACGTCCTGCTGAATGTCGAGACTGCGGATGAGATCAAGACTTTTGCCTTGAAGGCAGCATCTGCAAGGCGAGCGAGCGTCAGTCGCCAACAGCGGATCAGCTTTATGCCAGGCCTTTCCACGCCCGCTCGAGGTGCTTCATCGAGTGGACCACCCAGCGGACCCAGCAGCGGCTTGACTCCGATACAATCGATTCCAGACGATCATAGCCAAGCGTCTGCTGGTACGCCTGAACCTGCGAAGAAGGGCGGGTTGAAAGGTCTCCGAAGATTTGGTACAGTCATGTCGAAGAGAAGCAGTAAAATGCCACAGCAGCTGCTCACGACGTCGGAATCACCTGAACGAAAGCCCAAATCGTCACCCTTTGGTGCACTGCGGAGGAACAAGAATTCTTATTCGGAGACATTGGAGCCGCCACAAGAAAATCCGTCGTCTCAAAGGCCACGCTCTCCGCTTAGAATAGGAAGCGAAGTCCTTGAACCTCCGGTCTCTCGACAAGCGACATCAAGCTCGTTGCAAGGACCTCCACGATTGGACTCAATTCCTAGTACGAATGGTATTGGTTCAGTGACGTCCCCAACAGCGCCTTCGTTGACTCCATCGTTCGCAAATGTTGGCCACCAGGGAGATCTTGCTGATCTGGTGCCACCAAAGCCTGCACAGCCAGTGGCTCCTACATATCTACCTGTGGCAGAGCCCAGACGAGACAGTGAAGGTTTCTCGGTGCCTCCGCAACATCTCGATCCCATTTCGCAAGCCCAAGCAGAGGCTGAGATGGGTGGCGAAGTGCAGCAACCGCAGTTCAACGTCAACATTCGCAACGCGCCTATCGAAGAGGAAGGTGGCGAAGCCGCTCTTGCCAGCATGGCAGGCAAACTGGTAAGTCAAGTGCTTCTCGCCGAAGAATTGCGATTTAATTGACGCCTCCCCAGCAAGCACCTCCGCCTAACGCGCGAAGGGCTGGCACAGTGCGCGGCCGCCGTGATGCTCGTAATAGTACTATAGTAAGCACGTATGGTCCGCCTGGCGATTCGGCGCCCGAACAGCTGAGTGTCGTTACGCCTCAGACTGTAGAACGACCTGTTGAGCCGGCACCTGTGGCTGCGACGTCTCGCGCAGTACAGCCGCCTCCTGAGGCTTCGATGTCGAATCTTGTGCAATCCCCATCTGGCTCTTTCAGCCCTACCGGATCCTCAAACACCGCCTTCTCGCCCTTCAGTCCCGGCGCTGTTACATCTCCACTGCAGAGTAGCGTAGTCCCTCTCGCTTCCGACCATACTGGTGATAATCAATCAATAAGATCAGGTCGATCGCAGCAAAGCACAGCAAGCCATGGCATGAAACACCCGGAACTTGTCGAGCAAGGACTAAACTCGTCTATCATTGAGACCGTTTCTGCTCGCTTCGAACATGGACAAGTTGTCAGCTCCTCTCTCGTTGGCGAGATCGCTCTGGCTTACAATCCTGCTAATTTCTCAACCTCGCTCGGCCAGGAGACTATTCGCATAGAGAACTTTGCAATTCTCGACAAGGTGGCGCCTAATCCAGCTTTTATCGCTCAGTCATCCGGAAGAGAAGGTGAATATGCCGTCAACCTGGCCAATATTACACGAACACAGATTGCTTTCAAATACCAACTCCGCCACGACGACGCCACAACGCACACGCCATTACTTTTGACGCCAGCCTTCAGGATAGAGCCCAATCAGGCATCTGTCATTGTCAGCTACTCCCTTCACCCTAGCTTCAGCCCGCAAGCCGAGAGCATCACATTCTCAAACGTCACGATCGCATTCACACTCGAAGGCACCAAAGCCGGCAGCTGTCAAAGCAAACCCGTCGGCACTTTCGCACGAGAAAAAAATTTGATCTTCTGGCAACTCGGCGACATCACGCTCCGCCCAGGCGGCGCACCAGAGAAGCTCCTCGCGAGATTCGCCACGGAATCCCAGGCTACCGGCGGCCATGTCGAAGCTCGATGGGAAGTCCTTGGTGACGCTGCGCATGGCCTTGGCAGTGGACTTGCCGTTAGTGTTCATGCTGCCGCTGATGGTGCGGATCCTTTTGCCGATGAGGCGACGCAAGCTTCGAATTGGAAGGCTGTGCCTACTGTCAGGAAATTTGCGAGTGGGAGCTATGTGGCTAAGTCTTGAAAGTCGTCAAGGCTTGATTTATGTATTTAATGATACCCCCGACACTTTTTCTATTTCTCTTTTTCTGTGTTTGTGTTTGTATAGTTGATTGATGTATAGTTTGTTTTTTTAGCTGGTGTAATGCAATGCAATATCATGTAGTATGTAATACTGTGAGAAACTTGGAAGGAGAGTGGAGGTTCATTGCCCGTTACTGCGGAAATACTTGTGAAGAGCAATGATATCAAAAATCACCATTGAGTAACAAGACGTGCAAGAAGTCGTTTACGGTGAATGCAGTCGGCGGCACTGGTTCAAGGTTGGAATTCGCTTCAGATTGTTTGTATTTATGAAAAGTTTTGACAAGGGGTCTCGTACACGTCGATGACTGTCGAAGCGAAAAGGACAGCCGTTGCGGAACAATGCACTCATAGTTGAATCTCGAATATCCCACTATGCTTTTCTTCCGTTCACCCATCGCATCCCACCATCCAATTTTCCTTTACCTACAATGTAATCGGTAGTCAGATACCATAGATCCACTACTACATTATATCTTCATTTTCCTTCGATTTCCGCAATGCGATATATTGAAGACTTCTTTTTTTTATTTCTTATTCTATTATTATTTATAAAAATTTTATTTCGTTCTTTCATTCATTTCATCATATATCGGTAGACATGCCTCCAACGCCATAATGTGCTATGCTTTCGAATCGATCTTCCTCGTCAACTCATCAACTCCTAACGTCCGAGTCCAACTCCGCTAGGATTTTCAAGCTTGTCTGCGAATAGGATACGGGAAGGAAGCTTTTTTGAACACCTTGGCGATCCGTCGACCTTTTCGGCTGAATTTCGTTGCTGTGTGAATTCTTCGCGATCGGTCTAAGGTTCCGCGTCTTGGTTGTTCATGTGAGGAGAGGTGGGAAGGAGTTGGTACGCAGAGGTTTTGATTTGGGGAGATGGTGACTATAGTCGGAGAGGTATTAGATGGATTTGTTCATGTGTGGCTTGTGTTTTTGGGGGGTGAGATTCACGTATCGTGTCCGACAGCGTCGACGTGTCGTGAAGCAGCATTCATTATCTTGGCCGATGAGTCTTCCTGCCGAAATTTGTGATTCGTAGGAAGAAGCGGACGAATTTTGATGACATGGACATTTTGGTCTTGTTGACTTCAATCAGGCTGCAGTGTATGATACGGTGAGAGAGCAGTGCATTGCGGGATTCAGCCAAAAGGATATCTGTATGTAAATAGTCGTTCGTGCTATGGATGCCTGCGGTCTGTGGCGGATATCATGGGTGCTGGACATGACGATGTACATTGTCCTTTGGATCTACCTACTGAAGAGGTGCAATGCTTGGGGTTTGCTTAGATGCAGAGAAGCAATGGGCGGATGTCGAAGTATCGGCTGCAGGACCGTGGAGGTGAGGATGCATTGCGAGAGGTTTGCCCGGAACGTGAGGTCAGGGTACATGGGGCCCCATACGTAAGACGGATGCTTCGGCTTCCACAGGACTTCAATGGTCTTCTTGCTGCGCCTTCTTTCTTGCGTCGCCCATGTGGAGATCAGTGATGCAGTACCTTTGGTTGCCTCTGTATCGCTCATCGTTTGCTCCTGCTCTGTAGTCGTAAATGCGTCGCTCGGTGATCTTGTATTGCGAGATGAAAATGTGAAATGTCGACCGCCGTTTGGACCAAGGATCAGAAGCCTGGTGAAGCCTCAGGCAAAGAAATGTTGAGCGAGCATTAGAACTAGCAACCGATGGAAGATTGAGTGTGCAGGCATACCAAAGTATGCTGATGCACTTATGTGAATTGACACTGGCTTTGGTCCGTTACAGCAACATTGCTCAGATCTGATCCCAACGAGTTCAATGTCAAGTACCCACCTGAATTGAAGCGTTTCCAGGGCTCTGTTGTCAGCTCAGAATGAACAAGGTCGTGAAATTGGAGGTCTGTACAATAGCAAAGGCATCGTCATCATTCTCAGCGTCCACATCACAGCCACTTCCGCTGGACTCGGCACCGATATCTTGGACGATACAGTTCGGTCCAGGACAATAATGCGGCGCAGACTGACCGGGGAACTGGACTCTCAGAACTCCGACGTGTCCGTACCCAGCAGAAGGGCTCACAGGGGTCGCCGTGCCTTGAATGGTGATCTTTTTGCCTTCGATCTCGCAACCATTTCGCACATTGACAGTGCCGTTGTCGTTCAGAGAACAGTCGGCGGAGATACACCTGCAGCCAGCTGTAGGTGCTAGGGTCCCAGCCACCTGATACCAGCGGCCAAGGTAGCTGTCAAGCTCGAAATTGCTGGTAGGCTTCGGGTAGAAATATTGACCATCGTAGGACGCATCTACGACTGCTGGCTGAGATTTATTTGTGGTGCGTCGAAGTAGTGAACGACCTGTTAGTGGCGACGAGAAAGCAAGTCCAGTGAGGCAAAGTGCCAGATAAGCGGTGGTGGTCAGCCTAGTTGATGACGGCAAGTTTCGAGGATATCATGCTCATTGCTCGATGCCCGCTGCTGGCCTACTTATTCGTTCACGTGCAAAGCTGGTCTGGAATGTCTCTCGCGAGTGCCGTGACAATACCGTCATGGCTCCATTTTGCTAAGCTTCCAAGACTTTGTGGCCATCGATCTGATGAGCCGTGGGGATCGGTAGATCTGGGAGAGCCATGTTTCTGGCATATCTCTTACGGCTCGCGGGCGGCGGGCCTGGAGCCATCGCCATAATAGGAAGCAGTGGGTCTGTGAAAATGTCACTCCTCGGCGGGAGGTGAAGTGAAGTGCAGAGGATACTAGTCAATCGCGTAATAAACAATGATCTCCAATGAGCTCGTCCGGCTGCTGCAGAATGCTGTAAGGAGACGATCCCGAGTGGTGCTTGGTGGACTGGCGAGGACAGATCATTCGGACCATGCTGGTGTCTTGGCGTCGATTCATTCACCTACGTGATGACCTCCTCCACAATGCCTGAACCACATCCTCCCCGTTAGCCCGTTATGCTCCTCGCAGAACTTAGAAGTACGCATCGACCTGGAGTCTTTCTGACACGGCCAATTGCGCTTGTAGCTTCTATCACGCACAGCGCAGTGGATTACTTACGTAATACTGCCTTGCCAGCTGTTCAAATATGGCTTCGTTGATTGCCTATGTTCTGCTTATTCTATCCCTATCTCCACTCAGACTAGTAACAAAGGGTGTTCGTGCATGTGACATAGAATCACGTGTTCCGTAGCAGACTTTTCTAAACCCGTAAGTAAACTTTCCAACCCCTATACTAATTAAATAACCTCCCGTATAGACTATATAACACCCTTTATTACTAGTCTAATCCGTTTCTATCGGGTTTTAGTACGCGTATATAGATAATTGTAGTAGTAGGTAGATGCTATTAGCTATAATACTATTATATATCGGAAATCGTAAAATCCGCTATAGTAAAGCCCTACGTAGTTACGAAAACTATCTACTCTAAAAATCTAAAGAACTTAGGTCTACTACTCGCCGGGGAAAATCTATATATATGCGAAAATCGAACATCGCTTACTATATTAAAGCTAGACGCGTCTACCCTACTACGACCGTAGATCGATAAACTAACTCCGTAACGATCGAAACAATATCTACGGTAGGTAAATACAATACTATAAAGAAGCTCCCGTAACTCTTATCTATCCCCGATACTATCCCGTCTAGCGCTCGTAGTCCTCCTACCTAATATTATCGGCTAGGTATCGCAGCTCCGAGTTAGTAAGAGATACGTTTAGAATACCGTAATACTCGAGCCGGTTTTAATACCGCGAGTAGGGCAGGCTCTACGCGTTACGGGTTAGAGAAGGGCCGCGACTAGAGGGCAATTTATAAGAGCTAAATCGGGAAAATTGGCTCGGAGAATCTAGAATAGTTTCTAGCTAGGCAAGCTCTAGAAGTCCGCTACGCTATAGAGTATTCCTATAGAGCTTTCTACGAGGGTCGTATATACCGATCTATTAGAGATTATTCGATTTATAGTTAATCGAATCTATAACTATACTCTTAAATCTATTCGCGCGATAGTTTATACCGTCGACTATACCGATTTAGTCGACCTCTAATTCGATATTATCGAAGCTAGAATAAGGTAGATATTAAATCGATTATATAAACTATCTAAATAGCGGCCTAAGAAAAAGCCGCATCGGATCTAGGTTACTATACTACGGGCCTTGATTTACTAGCGATAGGATGTCCTATTTGTCGCAAAGACTAGTTTAGGTAAGAGCCTAATCTTCTAGGCTTTTACTATACTTACTAGATAGACTGCTATCTAGTTAGTGCCTCTTACTCGGCTCGGGGCGGAGTAAGAAGCGGACTTAAAGAAGATCGTAGGGGAATACGTTAATCCCGTACTAGTTACGAGTAAGGCTAAGCGGCGGGATCTAGATTTGTTTACTAAAATTAGGGCGGGCTAGTACGATTATATTATTCTAGGCCCGGAGCAGGCCGTATCCGACGACTTTAAGGATACCTTAAAGGATCCGAATCTTTCCTTATATATCGGGCTAGTCGCATTCGATAAAATTTATCTCCTCTCGAAATAGGCTAGCTTCCGCGAGGAATTCCTTATAGTCGCGTAGCTTAGGCAGCTTCTCCGCTAGGACTGTATATAGTTTAGCTATACTAGAACCCTAGATGCTATAACCTAAGCCTATATATTGAATTATAGCGGGTTTAGACCGGTCGGGTACGAGCTATATTATTCTATAGTACTACGGACTAGTATCGATCGCGTTAACTATACGTATATCTTTAAAGAGTTAGATGAAAATACGAAGTCGGTCTATAGCTAGTTGTATTTTGTAATCGAAAAGGCCGTAAGCCCCGCGGGCTCGCCTCTACCCGCTACGGGCTCGAATTTGTCTACTACTACGCTAGCTAATACGGGCGAAGCCTAGTCCGTAGCGGAGTAACGGGCTACGCTAGCGGAGATACTAAAGACTATTATCTTTATCGATAGTCGCCTAGACGTAATCGCGCTTATAAATCGCGTTCGAGCCTAGCTAGTACTTCGGACTAAGGACCTATATCGAGAAAACTAGTATTATTAGGGAAATAGGTCTAATCCTATACTAAACGTTCTTAGAATTGTCTAATTCTATATATCCGCTATACCTATATACGATTAGGACCTACGGTTTCGTAAGTTTAGCGTAGCGGATAGCACTATCTGTATTATAATTGCTACTACCGCCCTTAGCGTAGGCATTAATATCCGTATAGTGCAAATCGTTATCTAGTAGGGTCTTATATTAGAGTATAACTACCTAAATCTTCGCTAGCGTCTCGGGCATACCGGTCGGAATATAGTTCCGAGTAATCTTCGTAGCGAGGTATTCGTATTCTAGCTAGCGTAGATAAGGAATATAAAAAAACGGCTTAGGGATTAGCCGGTAGAGGGTAGCAAGGTCCGTAGCGGACCTCGCGTCGCCCGTAAGGGCAAGTTCTAGACGTAGCGGAAAGGATTACACTTAATACTTAATGTCGATATCTCGCTTAATAGTAATCGAGAAGATAAGAATACCGATACTAAGAACGGCAATTCCGCTACGCCTATAGCTTTACGCGCGCCTCGTATACGCGGTGCCTACTAGTTAAATGCTAAAGCGAGCCGCCGCGTAGCAGTCCCGGGGGATCTGCTTAATATATAGAATGCGCCGTATATTTGCAAAGTATAGGACGACAAGCTTAGCGAGGATAAGTGCTTAGACCCGAAGGTATCCGTATTAAGCGAAGTCTACTACAATTAGTGTAACTATAATATGCGGAGTGAACTGCCTATACCGCCGGATAGGTAGAATAGCCTTCCCCGACTAGTATCTAATTCGAGGCCCGGTTTCGTATTTACGCGGTTAACGGAGTAGTATATTGCGGTTCTCGAGGATCGCGTAGCGGGGGAATACGGATTTAGAATGCTATAGAATGCACTAGTAGATAAGTAGCTTATATATAGCCTTTGTCGGATCTACTAGGATTATTCGAGTATAGACTAGGATACCTTCGATAGCGATATACTTAGAAGTAAGTTAGATTAGCTAGTAGTTAGGAGAAGGACAAAATATCGGATTAGGCATATGCTCGACGTATAGGAGTACCGCGATAAGACGATTACTTTCGGGAGTAGCGGAGTAGCCGATTCTAGCGGTAGAGGTAGTAACGAATCTAGCGGTATCGAAACCGTTACTCTTCTTAATCTCCTCGTCTAGTTTATACGGTATGTTAGAGAAGATATAGTCTTAAAATAGATAGAGTATAGGGCGGCGTAGGTAGCGAAGGCCGCTACGGCTAAGGTAGCGAGCGCCGCGAAGGAAGCCGAAGATACATTACTTATAGAGATACTAGACGACTAGCGCCGAGCGTATCTACGGTCTACGTAGGAGAACAATATAAATATAGCGGCGTTAGCTATCGCTAGTTAAGGACGCCGAATTTAGTAGAGGAGAGCACCGGAAACCGGTAGTATAACTAATTTGCGGAAAATAGCGCTAATAAAGAGTACACTCGAGGTTAGAGAACAGGCTAGTAGCGGCTCTAATTAATCCTACGGCGGAGATAGTAGCGTACCTACTAGATCTATAGTAATTAATAGGTATCGATCTTTATAAGGGAGTCCTTCGAGTGTATAGGATACTACTATATATCTAGTATCGGGCCTAACGGGGCAGTAGCGACTAGAAGTAGCGAGCTTCGACTCTAGGTATATATTAGAGTTCCTACTAGATGCGGACCTAGCCCTCTCCGCTACGGAAGAGCTATTACCTACGAGGGCCGCTAGATCGAAGCGTAGGCGACCTAATACACCTAAATCTACTTCCGATATAGGAACACTATCGAAAAAACGTCGTTATAAGGAGCCTCCCGAGCTAAAGACACTAATCTATAAATAGTCCTATTTTAGTAGGATATACTAATATACTACGTCGCCGTCTAGTCGCCCGCTACGGAATACGAAGGTCCTATAACGGGTAAGACAGTATTTTAGGGTATTAGATCTAGCTCTAGCTCTAGTTTTAGAGTAGACCTTTATTTGCTCCGGTATAGAAGACTTAGATCGCGCCTTCTTTAGTCGTCTTATTTCTAGTTATATATAGCTTTATTTCCGCTACGTATAGCCTAACTTCCGCCGCATATACCTTATTCTACTATTATACGTATAACGTATATAACGCGTTTATTCCGAACTTTACTTTATACGCTATCCGTACGCGTAGTAGCTATATTTAAAAGGACGCTTCTTCGACTTCTTCTCCTTCTCCTTCTTCTATATATATATAGCGATTACTACCTTCTACTACTTTCGACTACTTCTAATTAAGA